TCAAGGTTGCCCTTCATCAAATCACTATGAATGTTAATGCCATGATTGGCCGTGGTGGCGCTCATGCCCCGAACGGGAAGAACCACCAACCTCCTGAACCCACGAAAAAGCAAGACTATCGATCGGTGTGTTCAGACTATCTTATGCAAATGATGAAACGGAGGTCTCTCTATGCCGAGAATTGCAGGTGCATTGACTGGAAGAAACTTCCTCAAAAATTTCAGTCAGCAGACGTTGCTCTCATTAACTGGCCAGATAGCTTAGACTGGAAATCGCTGTTCTGGGACCAGGATGTCAGTAATGTTGGCACAGCACAGTGGTGGGTCATTTGGAATGCATTTTTCCATGAAAATGCCGATGTCAGGCCCACTCTTCGAGCGTTCAACCACAGCGAGTACGGCGACGACGATGGGATTATCATCAGCACTACAGGCCATGTCCTGATTTCTTTCAAAGAAGCGAAGGACCCATCTTTAGGCAAACGAGAGGATGCAAGTGACAATGACAGTCATGGTCATGTCGAGGACTCCACCCCACCTCCTAACCCTCACCAACGCGCTGCCGGGAAACAGCCTGCCCTGATGATGAAACGGGCCAGGCTGGCAACACCCAGCACTCCGACAACCCCCCCCAATCCCATCTCTGTCGATATGGACTGGCAGCTGCCCACTGGGTCGGTAGGCCCACATCATTACCAAGTAATGGGGCAGTCACTTCCAGGTCCTGCGCTGCAAGGGAAATCAGCTGCAGGAGGGGTACATCCATATCTCGGTCCTTCTGGGGTGGTGCCTTTTGTTAGCCACGGAATGGGATTTAATAATGGCTGGTCTCCGTTTGCACACCATGGGTATGATTCTACTTGCATGATGCCGTCTGTGTCTCATACCCAAGGTGCTACTTTCATGACGCCGTCTGTGTCCAATCCCCAAGATGCCACCTTCATGATGCCATCCCCGTCCAATCCCCAAGGTGTGCTAGTCTCAGGTCTTGATTTCTCTGCGGAAGTTCATGATCCCTCACAAGGCTCCTGATCCGCATACCCTTTATCATATCCCGTTCACTCTTTCCTCTTCGAAATTTCGACTTTTTAACCTTCGAGATAAATTCCGTTAGCTGCTGTCTATCACGTAGCACCAAATACTCTACACTTTCACGGTTGCGCATGCACCGATTGTCATATATTGCGCATTACTTCTATTCATGTATATACGTTTGCGTACCATAGCCAATAATAATGTGATTTAGACAACGCTGACGATGCGGAGGACGATCTCCATGAGTATGTGGACGGTTAGGGCATCCCTCAGGTAGTATAAAACATTCTATGGCATTGCTGAACGTTCTATACAGTCAGAGAACGTTCTAAATGTTCGTGATGAACGTTTTACATGTTCAAATCAATACAAAAGAGAAAGTTCAACGAGCCTTAGAACGTTCATATGCATTTAGGCCTGTTAGGCCGGAGATCGAAAGTTCAATTTGGGTACCTAACGAGGCCTTCTACCTGGGTGTCCGTGGTGCAAAAGTGAACGATTTTTTTGCATCACGTTAAATAAAGCCAATGTATGGGCAAATCCATCCCAACTTAGTCCATGAACTTATGAGGCTCGAAGAGTACCTCGTTCCACCCCGGCTTGATCACGCTGAAACCTGGGGCCAGCGAAAGCTGCAGAATCTGTGCCGCATTCGGATTAATCCCAATTCCATTGCACAAAGAAATGGGATAGGTATCCTTAACCCCTCCCACCCAGTAGCGGTTCTCGATGACTTCATCCCAGAATCATGCACGCCAGGAAAGAGCAACATTTTATCCAACTGTTTATTGTGTTCGGAACCAGACACATCAGGATGCTCGACGTACCAGCATCAGCCTGGGGTGGCCATTGATCCATATACTCCACCCGATCCCCGCAAGCCCTACGTACAGAATAACATATCTGCACAATTTAGAATAAAGTTATAGAAGGTGGGCGGCCAGGGTCCAATATGCAACTGGAAGGGCACAGTTTTCCCGCAAGTTATAATAAACTCGTCTCATATTGGCGTCTTTGATTTATTGAGGCGCTGATCATGCTATCGCAGCATACAATCCTCCAAACTCCAATGCCGCGTGTTCAAACTCGACGTTCCTGATTTCGACCCATCGTGGCCAGCCAAATCTCCACTGGCGCCTGTAGGCTCTTATCGTTGCCCTTGCTGTGAATGTCTCGTACGCACGTGTGGCATGCCCACCAGGCATTGAGCAATGCAGCGCAAGCCATATTGGCTGTTCTTGTGAATTGAGAGTGGTAGGTCGCGACTCTGACTGTGCATCGATTAGGATCCGTCTGTTAAGGGTTGCAGCGGTAAGCTGCAATCGTCCGAATCATGAGCGTTCGTCGTAGGTGAACGTTTCATGCATGGATCCAAATGGGGAGAACTGGATGACGGCATAAGGGATCATGAGGGATAGCGCAGGGAGGCCGAGGACAGAGAAATTAAACGTCAATGCACTGACGGCGGTTGGCCCATGGCCAGCAGAGGGTCGAAGGTATTGGACAATGAGGGCTTTTTTGCCACTGGATTCTTCCGCGATATCTTGAATCGTGGGATACCAGCAGGATACGGGAGTGCTAGAATCAGAGTCCATAATGGGCGGAAGGTCCAGTTGATATGTTGCTTGTCATTAGGATCAGAATTTTCAGTGCTTTCATAATCTTTCGCTGGATAACTTGGATGTATCGAACGTTTGCGACGAGGGCGCCAGGCGTCGCCTGAATCCTTGTAATGGATGAGATATGCCTTTTGACCCAAAGCGAGGACACCACCCGCAATGGCAACACAATCTCTCGCCGCATTGTCTCGATGGTCACCGAATGCCTGACACCTACAACATAAAAGGCTCGAATTGAGAAGAGCGTGAAGCACAGCGTAGCGACATACCATGTCCAGCCAGTAGGAAATGATGCGCCCCAGTTCTTTTCCATATGTGCCACCCCTGTGCCTCCAAAGACTTCTAATCCCACCCCATCGGCGCCGATATGCTTCACGTCATAATTTGCCTTCGATCCGGTTGAGAAAATTGCCCAATGCAATGGAAGTAAAGTTTCCAATCTTGAAAGAGCCATGCTGTGCGGAGTACTCAGTAGAGCGTGCTCCTGCGATAATGGAACGCGATCCGTTATGTCTATGGACACTTTCCAGTGCTTGGAAGAGCTTTCTCCACATGGGACGGTGAGATTATAACGTTGGGTCTTTGGCTCCACGGTGAAGCTTCCAATATTAGGTATGTTCAAAGTATATGGTTGCAAATCTGTCTCTGAATCGGGCGGGGAGTCCACGATATGTTGAAGGTCATCAGGAAATAAGTGGAACTCGACCGGCTCGATAGTAGACGAGTCACCAATAGGCGTTACTGAGAAATGGAAATAGTGCTTCCTAGGAGTGTTTGATGGCATCGAGTCTCCAAGAGAGCAAAAAATCAGGATGATGGAGAGTCCCGCCGATTAGTCTTGTATCCGAGTATACCAGCCCTCGAAACCGACATATGAAGGGTGAGGGGAAAACTCCCAAAAGGAATACGGCAACCATGTGAGTCGTTCGGCGACAGGTGTCAATTTCCTATTTCCATCACCTGCCAATTCATTCGGAGGTTGCCAGCTATGGGCACGCCTCACATCCTAGAAGAACCCTTGTATCTTTTACTCGTCACCCAGTACATCCGAGGAGGGGCACTTGGCTATGTAAAATCCGTTGGATATCCTGGAGGTAAGAGATTTCTCAGATTTAGACTACGACACAAACAACCGTACATACATGGCTCTTGAGCTTGGTTTCCAACATGTCAAGGGCTCGAGGAGGTTCCCTAACTTCTCGCCATATACCAATGCCTTAGCTAAGTGCCCGATGTCTCAAGGAGCTGCCTCAATGTGATTTCTGAACATCGCGGGTCATCATGCGGTATGTGCCATAATTGGACGTGGCACGAGTGAAATGCCAGTGGCGAACCAATGATGAGAGACACAACTGCTTCGGCTCATCAACGGAACCAACTAATGTGGCCATTCAGGGGGGTTTCCTGTAGTAGCTGGCCCCTTTAGCGTCACAAGAACGCTTGGCCAAACGTTCTTTCATGGGCTTGCGCTTGCTCCAGCCGATCGCCTGAGTGAAACAGCGAAACAGAGATGTTAGACTAAAAGGCGCCGAAGACAAGCGGGTCATTCCTAGGCTCTATTTCCTGCGCCTTTAGTATTGGGCTCTACCCTTCCTAGGATCCACAATTTCAGTGGGCTCGTTGCTGTCCAATTCTTCGCTTCATAAATTTGAACAAACTGGCTCACACCGTTGGCAGGTAGCTCCGACTGGCCTAGTCCATTGTCTGACCGACTGCCTTTGGTTGTGCAGTGAATATACCATCTTGGTACTAAAATTCTGGACAAAAGGCTGTTTACGCGTCACTGCCGCCAGGTTTGGGGCCGGGGGTTTGGCACCTCCCAAACTGATGCTATCTCAACTCCTACCTCTCCCGATCCACTGCTTTGGTCAACTAGTTACGTAAACCAGTGCAAGCGCCCCGCGAATTGTGTTTACGCAGCATGGAGCGCGCAGTCACTGCGAAGCTTAGTGGGTGCGGTAATCTGAAATCGACAACTCGTCGCTAGGGACGATTCACTTGGAAGCCCGACTGGAAAGGGCTTTGGCGCCGCTCATGGTGTGTATTAGGCAAGGCACAGATTGGATTCATGATGGGTTCGAATTTGCGAGCGCCATTAGAAACATATGATAGATATCTGGGTTCGCTTACATACTTGATTGCCGAGTAATCACTCCGTTACTAACTAATTCGTGAATTGGCAATACGCCGCCCTACGATCCTTGAGCGAAGGTTATAAAGACTCGAGGACAGTAACGCGAAATGCGTCACATCCTATCACACACAGCGGTGAAGGGATTCATAACGTTCAGGGTATCTGGTTGTGAAAACGACTTCCTCGGACTGCCGCTCCTTCGGGCTCTCATCAATGAGTCAGATAGACGCATTTGGGATGCCTGCTACTCCCATTGTAGGAGATGAACGGGAGTTTCGTTCATTTACATCATGTGGGTGATATCACACATAGGTCCTTTAACGATGCTGATGTCATTTTCTGATGGAATTGCGATTCATTCGAGCTCCGAGAGAAGCTCAAAAGAAGAATCGCGCATAATTCCAATTTCGGAACAGTCATCTTCAACTACCGAACTGTTGTTTGCTTTCACCCCATCCTCGTCACCTTTGTACGAACTGTACGATCATCTCTGATCCTGTCCGCGTCTTCGCCATTTCTGGCGATTATTCTGGACACGCAAATCTCGTTGAGTGAGAATTCACTCAATGCCCGAACGGTCATGGAAGCAAAGTTGCCAAAGAAGGTTGACAGATGGGATGGTGAGGGCGGCCAATTACGAAGCCCAATTCAATCATCGCAACAGTGTTGTGACATCATTCATGTGCGGCGCTTCTCCCCCGATGGTCGTCATGTAGCCCTCGGTTTTGGTGACGGTATCATCGACCTCACCGGCATCAACCAACGCGGTATTTCCCGATTCCAGCTCGATCCATGGCAGCAACTGTCGTTACCGAGGAAAACGAGGAAAATGCCAGTCCATAGCCATGGTAGGACCCTCGTAAATCTCGGTATTAATGGCCCCTTCCCTACGTATACTGGTACTTTAGTGTCGGATAATGGATCATTTGTCGGACGAGTTCAAGCCTTGGTGTGACAACATAACGCGTACATCGACTTCAAACGACCCACACCTCGCTTCCCCTCCTTCCATCGCTTCCCTTCCATCCTTCCGCTCAAATCCTTTGTTACCCAGCCCTCACCGCCGCACATCTAGGTTTTCTCCTGGTTTACAGAGTTGATTGCGCGTCATCGTGTTACGAAATTCAGTTCTTGGATTATGAATCCCACAGTCCAACCCCTTGCTCACATCTCATATATTCCTGGTCCCGTGTCCACCCGACTCACTGAAGGACACGCGCATCATTCCGAATTAGTGGATGTGAAGTAGACGGGTTGGGCATGCATGAAGATCTTGGCGTCTATTCACCTGTTGCCGGAAGAATCCCGCTATTGTGCACCGGAAACGTGAGTGAGCTACTAATATGGTCCAACTGCAGAACAGAATTCTCTTCCGCGGTGATCTGAGGGTGCGTGACAACAACCGTCTGAGAGCTTGGTATGGTAATGAAGCGCCGTTTGATGCTACGAATCTCTTACCGCTTCCATCCAGCAAGGATGGAACTCCAAGGCCGGATGACGGCTCCAATTGTCGTCGATATTAGTAAAGTCGTCTAGGATGTCCGCAGTCGTCGTCACCCTTAGCCATGGTATCCTCCCCGTGAGTCTTGGTACTCTCCCCAACGGCCCACTCGTGCTGGGACATTGTCAGAGGCCTTGGTATGACAACATGCCGGCAACGTGACGCCTATTCCGACGACCCCCCTCTCCTTCCGACCCTTCCACTCCATCCTTCCACCCGAATCCTTTGCTAGCCATTCCTCGTCGTCGCGCGCCTGGGTTTCCTTCCGGAGTATGGTATTTCGATGGAGTCAGCGCTTTCACTTAGTCGACCGAGTCGGGCGAGTTCATTGCCCCTTACAGCGTTACGAATGTCAGTTCTTGATTTATGAATCTCACAGGTCCCCACCACTTGCTCATATCTCATCCCTGCTCCCGTATTCCTCGACCCAATTCTCCCTGGTGATCCCGTAGACATACACCTCTCCGAACCGGATATATGCGTGACTCAGATGCGTCCCAATTTACGGCCTCCCACCAAGCACGCACGAAGGCCGCTACAAATCACGAATCACTAGCACCTTTGGTCGAGCAAGGGGGCGACTCGACTTCTGCTCCAAGATTGGATGGCGACTCCAATTGTCGTCGAAATTGGCAAGTCGTTTAGGATGGGTCGCGGTCATTGCGATTCCTTCTTCTCCACTGATTAGTCGCCTAGCTCGAGCGTTTTTCTGTCACCGCGTTATACATTGTCCTCCGATTTGTACATCATTGCACTTGACATTTTATAATATCAATAATAACGAGTACGGCAGGTGAAGGGGGAACAACATCCTCTGGTTCTGGAAGTCAAACACCACCCCGAACAAGGATCATATATCCACATCAAGATTTTCTTGCATGGATCAGTTGAGCCAAGCGTCCTCCCATCCAACATCCACCTATGGCCCATTGATAAACATTGCTCCTACGATACTAAGTAATGGAAGATGTTAATACTTCGAAGTCCCATCCGTACAGAGTATCTCGATCTCAGATTCTATACTCTCAGACAGCAATCACACGAGCACACCACAATGGACTTCTTGTTAGTCCCTCCCCCTCCCTAGAAATTGCACTTCATCGATTCCCTCTGTTTCTTCTGATCTGCTCATGGAATTCCACCGTCTCCGCGTGACCCGCCAACATAGCTCCATCGGGTTGTTACTCTTTAACACACTAAACGGTCCGTCAGTACTAGCTCTCCCGCTTCTTCCCTCAGAGCCACCGACTGGGAAGCGTCCCCGCAACGTTCAAAAGGTGATTTGTCACCTCTTCTTTCCCCCAACCCGCTCTCTGCTTCCATCCTGGTGGGGGAGAGAGAGTTTGACACTTTCTATTACTATCTGAATCTATTCCGAGCATCGAACGTCGCCGGCAAGGTGAAAGGCATTTGGCCTTACAGAGGGTCAAATAAACGGGATGACAACGATGAACGGCCTGCTGGTTCCGCTCAGAAAATTTCAAGTATAAATCTTCATGGGAAACGAAAGGCAATCTGTTCAGAATCGTGCTCGCAAGCACCCTCAGTGACAATATCTCTGCGGGAAGACTAGGTATTCCATGTTTTAGAACGACCGCGAAATAAAATACCTCCGCTACTTGGATAGGTGCGAGGTCGCCAATTAAATTTAAAAGCGGACACTACAGATAGAAGCCCAACAGCAATAAAGTCTTAAAGCGCAAGATTGAAATATTTTGCACATCAGTGCTATTACTGGCCGACAAATAGTGGATGCCTGGTAAGTAATTGCTGCTGAAATTTCATCAAAGCTTGTGTCGGCGTCACACAAAGACATCCATTCAGAGTTAAGTCCACCATTGATAGCTTGGATCCCTATACGAGGGGCTAGGAAGTCATCTAGAGCTGTTCTGGTATGACTCAGAGCATTGGAATAGAAGTAACCGGGCTGAAGCATATCGCTGGAGGCAAATAACCGAGAGGGGTGACAAGGTGGATACCAGACGAGACTCTGATGTTCGCAATTCGAATATAGGATAATTCGCTGTGGCAGCTGCGTTTGGTGGTCCGAACCAAATAACTATCAACAACGGAGACCATGTCAAAAAATCGCTTGCAAAATACTCAAGGGGGCGTAGTAAACACAAGTGGGTTTTTTGCGATCTGTTATCGGCCCTAATACTTTTGATTTACAATCCATCCCCGACAGAAGGGTACTTGAATATATGTTGTCCTGATTTGGCAGTGGTTAGCAAAGTACTGCCTTATATGTCGTGTTCGGCTCAACTCTCCTCTCTGTCCACAACACCCTCTGCGATTGCTGATACACGATGTTTGATCGATTTAAGTTTTCTAAGAGAGGACATTCTCCTGCACCTCCCGGTAGCCCTTCGCGACCCTCGACCTCCGTTCCCAGCCCCCAGATCACTACTTCTCCCACTGAAAGCGATCCAACAACTAGCACAGATTGCGGTGGATCTGATAGATCCCGTCTTGAGCCTCTTACTACTACTGGCGGTAGTTCTCGAGGCCAGAAGCAGCGGTGGTCTGTTCGGCACGCTATAGATCAGCTGTTCAACAGAAATCCCAGCCCCGATCCCACTCATATCGACCAATCGAACTCCCCCGATCCCATACAATCTGACCCCTCGGCGCCCGATCTGCCATCCCCAACCGTCCCTGCTGGTGACGGAAAGAAAACAATCATCGCCGCCACAAGGCTCGTCCTCCAAACTGCCGCCTCTGCCCTTAAGTTCGTCCCTATTCCAAACCTCGATCAGATACCAAGTATACTTCTGACATGGCTCCAAGTTTACGAGGTTCGCACGTGTTGTTGCGATTTTGCGATCTAATGAAATAACCTCTATGTTTTCATGCAGACCATCGACGACAACGACGAAAATCTCAAGGGATTAGACGATGAAGTTCGAAAGGCTCACGAAACGATTTTTAGGCCTCTCCAGTTGTGGACTGGCCAAGTTCCTCTCGAAATAAGTGATCTGATTCCACGATTTAACTTGTATGTGCATTCAATTCATCCTTCTCTCGCCCAAATCTTAACCCTCGGTCACAGAGCTCTCAAACAACAAGTAAAGCAAATCGAGGCACTCAAACGTCAAAAGCTTGCCAAGAGGGTAATTTTAGCGACTGAGATAACGCAAGAAATAAGCGCCGTACAGTTGTGCATCCGTGATGCTGTCTCCCGCTTTTCGGTTCGTCTCGTCTACGTTCAGGTCATTAGAAGATTGACTGGGGGATTTTCCATAGACTGCTGCGACAACTCTAAATCTCCTTCACACAATTCGGTTATCGGTGGACTGTTTGTTGTTCTCCATTGATTTCACCGTTCGGAATTTAATGCACATTTCAGATGAACTCTCAAAACTCCACAAAGCGAATGCGGGGTATTCTGCCGTGAAAAGCAAATCGGAGTGCCTGGAAAGTACGCGTGTTCAGATTCAGGAAACGATACTCGATCATTTGGAGAACCGGAAGCACCGGTTTGTCTGGCTTCGTGGCTCTCCGGGTACGGGAAAGACTGCTATATCGATGAGTGTTGCCTCGGCTCTTAACAAACAGGGTCGCTTGGCAGCATCTTTCTTCTGGGACAAAAATCGTCAGGGAGAAGGACTTGCTTCGATTGAACACTTTCCCTCTACTCTCGCACGCCAGCTTGCCTTGTTTAACGCCGAGTATGAAGGTCTTCTTGTTAGTCAACTTCGACAGTCCCCGGCACTGAAGGACCTCCGACTGGAGGAGCAGATGGGATCTCTGATTGTCGATCTCATACACAAACTCTTATCTTTGCGTGGGGAGCGTTCCGTCATCATCTTGGATGGATTGGACGAGTGTGGGGCTCAGGAGGAACTTGAGTCCTTAATGAAGCTAGTACTTATCCTTGATGAACTGCCAGCCACATTTGCCGTGTTGGTCAGCTGTCGGCAAGAGTCATCCGTTGTATCGGCATGGGAAAGAGCTCGGACTCTGGGTCTTGCCATACCATGTGCAGATGTGGACATCGTCACTGAGGAAGAGAAGTTCCATACTATCCACCGCATGGTGGAGGAAGGCCTCCGGGATTGCGTCAATAAGTCATTCTGGAAACCGTCGAAAAAGGATATCGATACATTTGCCACAGCCTGTCGTGGACTACCCATTATCGCTTCAATCCGCGTCCGGGATGTCAGCATTCGAACTCGTCGTGGTGCAACCCTTCGATCCGAGTTCAAATACTTCCGTGACCTCATCGATGCCCCTGGTGACGTCAATTTGGAGTACCTGCGCATACTTCGCCGTGCCTATACATTTGACTCATCTGGAGTTCCTCCACATATAGCGGAGAACTATCGCCAAGTGGTTGCCACAATCAATGTGGCGTTTGAGCCACTGAGTGTGTTTTCCATGTCACAGCTATTAGGAATTGCCGAGGAAGAGGTCTTAGCCATATTGGATCCAATTCGTTCAATTGTTGACCTTTCTTCGACAAATGGCTTGGACAGTGGTTCGGACAGTGGCTCGGATGGTGGCTCGGACGGTGGCTCAGACAGCGGCTTGGAAAGTTCCTCGAATGACATGCAGGGCATCAAATTCTATCATGCAACGATGAAAGAGTTTATAACGGGGGATCCAATTGGTGATGAAAACGACAAAGTATTCTTTATCAAGGATGCAAATCAGTATTTCATCGGACTGCCACTCCTCCGATTTTTCAATAATAGTTGTGAGCAGAATGTGTTTGAGTTGCCCACTGTTCTCCCTTTAGGAGATAAACAGAAATGGGGCGATTTTCGGAAGAGAAAACGTCACCTCCCTCATCATCTCCGATATGCTCGTCATTACTTATTAGAACACTTAGACCCCTCACAACTCTTTGCACAAGGGTCCAATTTGCAGAACCAGTTTAATACATTCCTCACACGAAACTTGGTTACATTTATGCACCTGGCATCAATCGATAACTTTAGGAAGCCATTCCCTGATGAATTTGATGGATTCAAGGTAAATGAAATTAATGCGTTGCGATTATTTTAATATGATGTCATTTTTAACAGAATTGCGATTCATTTAAACTTTTGAAAGAAGCTCGAGAAATGCAATATATGGAGTATATCAATACGACGTCCTTGGAACCATGGAACCTCTATCGATTAACCCTTCCTTTCACCCCACCCTCATCACCTTTTCACAAACTGTATGGCCACCTCTCCGATCCCGTCCGGATCTTCACCATTTCCGGCGAGTTTACCGGGCACAGAATCCCATTGAGTGAGGATTTACTCAATGCTCGAATGGTCATGGAGGCGAAGCTACCTGATTTGCTAATGAAGGCTCGTGTTAGGCGTAGTTATGATGCCCAATTCAACAACCGTGATGTTCGTAATGGTATTGTGACATGCGCGGCGCTCTCCCTTGATGGTCACCATGTAGCTCTTGGTTTTGGTAGCGGTGTCATCGAACTCGCTGATATCGACCATCAGCACACAATTTCCCGATTCCAGCTCGATCCACCCAACCATCCAGTCTGGATCGAATTTGTCCATGGCAGCCACCGAGTTGCTGCTGAGGACAATGAGGGGAACGTCACCATCCTTGGCCACGATATGACTTCCATTAATATCGGTACTCTTCCCAAACATCCTCTTCCTGCTGTAACTCGAGTATCAGATAATGGATTATTTATCGTACGGGTTCCACGGAACGCTGGTAGTTCTTGGTACGACAGCATGACCCTCATATCCATTTCAGGTGACCCGCACATGCAGCAGCTTGCACCCCCTACTTCCAGTAGTTTCACTCCAACTTCCAAGTCTTCTACTAGGTCCTCTGCATCCCCAATGATTCCTCACCGTCGCACACTTGGGTTTTCTCCGGGAGCACATTATATCGGCGCTTTCGATGACCTCAGTGCTTTCACCTGGTCGACAGGTTCGGGTGAGCTCATTGCGAGTTATCGTGTGACAGATTTCAAGCTTTGGATCATGAATCCTGCTGTTCCCCTCGCCTGCTCTTATCGCATCCCTGATCCTGTATCCACTCAGCCTACCCTTTCCTTGACAGAAGGTGAAGCAGCAGATATACATCATTCTGAAACACATGCAGGGCATAGCTTGGACGAATCCTGGATCAAGTACCCATTTTATGTTATCTCAACCGAGGAGGACACCATTTACATACGGGTGGTGTATAGAATCCATTCATCCGCAGCCGGAAGAACCCCACTTTTCGGAACTGATATTGGTCTCGGCACCGATGGGCTAGAAGTGTACTTCGATGGCAAATTTGAATTCTTTATTCCCGAGTATCGCCTAGTTAGGTTTGCTGGTCCCGAAGGTCTAGGCGCTTGGTATGGTGATCAAGTGCCATATGATCCTACCTATCTGTACAGCCCTCGGTCCAGCAAAGATGGGACTCGAATTCTCTTGCAGGGCCGACAGACAGCTCCAATTGTTGTTGATCTTAGTCAAGTCCTTTAGGATATTTGTGGTCAATTGCAATATCTTCTCATTTACCTTCCGCGTTCTGTCCACTATCAGAGGGAGAATCGCGAAGTTTCGCTAGGTCGCCCTTCCATCTTTCTGGACTTCCCTCGGACGAGGTTCCCTTTCCCTATGGTGCAGTGTGTATAAATACGGGCTTGGAGACTTCAACGGATCTATGACCATTCCTTCCTTGCACTGTCGTTTAGTCCCGGGTCGGACAACATGAATGCTCATCAGCGTTTGCGATTATAGACTTTTTGATTTCGCGCTTTTCATAGTTCCTTGATTCGCTTTTCACTCCGCATCAGAAGAATGAAGGTATATATCTATCTGTTCATTTGAGCCAACCTGCACCGCTAAAAGGCTTGGCCGAAACGGATCACTTTGAACGTATTAAAAAAATCGGTATTTCTTTTACCGTTTCACCCGGTGTTCATCCATAATGTGACAAAGAACCAACGTTGTATAAATTAGATATGCAGGTGTGCTAGCGTTTAGTGCTACAAGATATCGGGATAAAAGTGAACGATTTTTTTGCATCGCGTCAACATATGGGCAACCCTATCCCAACTCCCCATGAACTTATGAGGCTCGAAGAGTGCCTCGTTCCACCCTGGCTTGATCGCGTCGAAACCTGTGGCCAGCGAAAGCTGCAGAATTTGTGTCGCATTCGGATTAATCCCAAGACCAGTACGCAAAGAAATGGGGTAGGTATCCTTAAATCCTCCACCCACGGTAGCAGTTCTCGATGACTTCATCCCAGAATCATGCACGCCAGGAAAGAACAAGATTTATTGTGTTCGGAACCAGATACATCAGGATCCTCGACGTACCAGCACCGGCCTGGGGTGGCCATTAGCCATATACTCCATCCGATCCCCGCATATAGAATAACACATCTGCATGATTTAGAATAAAGTGATAGAAGGTGAGCAGCCAGGGCCCAATATCTGCAACTGAGAGGGCATAATTTTTCCCGCAAGTTATAAGCTCATCCCATATTGGCGCCTCTGATTTATATTGAGGCACTGATCATGCTATCGCAGCATACAACCCTCCAAACTCCAATGCCGCGTGTTCAAACTCGGCGTTCCTGATTTCGACCCATCGTGGCCAGCCAAATCTCCACTGGCGCCTGTAGGCTCTTATCGTTGCCCTTGCTGTGAATGTCTCGTACGCATGCGTGGCATGCCCACCAGGCATTGGGCAATGCAGCGCAAGCCATCTCGGCTGTACTTGTGAAGTGAGAGTGGCAGGTCGCGACTCTGACCGTGCATCGATTAGGATCCGTCTGTTAAGGGTTGCGGCGGCAAGCCGCAACCGTCCGAATCCTGAGCGTTCGTCGTATGTGAACGTTTCATGCATGGATCCAAATGGGGAGAACTGGATGACGGCATAAGGGATCATGAGGGATAGCGCAGGGAGGCCGAGGACGGAAAAATTAAACGTCAATGTGCTGACGGTGGTTGATCCACGGCCAGCAGAGGAGTCGAAGGTATTGGACAATGAGGGGTTTTTTTCCACTAGATTCTTCCGCGATATCTTGAATCGTGGGATACCAACTGGATATGGGAGTGCTAGAATCAGAGTCCATAGTGGGCGGAAGGTCCAGTTGATATGCTGCTTGTCATTAGGATCAGACTTTTCAGTACTTTCATGGTCTTTCGCTGAATAACTTGGATGGATCGAACGTTCATCGCGCCGAGCGTCACCTGAATCCTTGTAATGGATGAGATATGCCTTTTGACCCAAAGCGAGGACACCACCCGCAATGGCAACACAATCTCTCGTCGCATTGTCTCGATGGTCACCGAGTGTCTGAGCGGGATCGTGCGAAGATGCGCCAAATGCCTGACACCTACAACAAAAAAAAGCTCGAATTGAGAAGCGGGCGAAGCATAGCGCAGCGACATACCATGTCCAGCCAGTTGGAAACGATGCGCCCCAGTTCTTTTCCATATGTGCCACCCCGGTGCCTCCAAAGACTTCTGATCCCACCCCATCGGCGCCGATATGCTTCACGTCATAATTTGCCTTCGATCCGGTTGAGAAAATTGCCCAATGCAATGGAAGTATAGTTTCCAATCTTGAAAGAGCCATGCTGTGCGGAGTACTCAGTAGAGGGTGCTCCTGCGATAATGGAACACGATCCGTTATGTCGATGGACACTTTCCAGTGCTCGGAAGCGCTTTCTCCACATGGGACTGTGAGATTATAACGTTGGGACTTTGGCTCCACGGTGAAGCTTCCAATATTAGGTATGTTCAAAGTATATGGTTGCAAACCTGTCTCTGAATCGGGCGGGGAGTCCACGATATGTTGAAGGTCATCAGGAAATAAGTGGAACTCGACCGGCTCGATAGTAGACGAGTCACCGATAGGCGTTACTGAGAAATGGAAATAGTGCTTCCGAGGAGTGCCTAAAGGTGTCGAGTCTCCAAGAGAGCAAAAAATTAAGATGATGGAGAGTCCCGCCGATTCGTCTTGTATCCGAGTGTACCAGCCCTCAAAACCGACATACGAAGGGTGAGGGGCATACTGATCCTTTTGCGCCAAAAGGCGCGTCGATAACCATTGGGGAAACAACAGGTCGGCTACTGTTGCGGAAAACTCCCAAAAGGAACGGGGTATGGCAACCATGCGAGTCGTTCCAGCGACAGGTGTCAATTTCCTATTTCCAATGACCTGCTCGTTCGGAGGTTACCGGCTGTGGGCAGTTCCAGTGACGTCGTAGGAAAGCGAATGCTGCAGCTTACATCCTAGAAGAACCCTTGTATCTTCTACTTGTCACCCAATACATCCGAAAAGTGACTATGTAAAGTCCGTTGGAAAACAAGGATATCCCGGAGGTAAGAGACTTTCCAGATTTAGACTACAACATAAATAAGCGCAGAACGTACATGCTTCTCTTTCCAGTGAAATCCGCTCGAGAAGGTTCCCACCTCAACGTGATTTCCGAACATCGCGGATCGTCATGCGGCAGTGACGAACCAATGATGGAAGACAACCGCTTCTGACTAATGTGGCCGTTCAGGAGGTTTCCTGTAGTAGCTGGCCCCTTTGGCGCCGCAAGAACGTGTAGCTAAACGTTCTTCCATGAGCTGCGCTGCTTCAATTGATCCTCCAAGTGAAACAGTGAAACAGAGGTCTTAGACTAAATGGTGCCGAAGATGAACACGCTTCGCAGGATCCACAGTTTTAATGGGCTGGTCAGAGCTAATTGAGTGAATAGTCTTACCTCGCCTTTACCGATCCGTACGACATCATTCATACTGTGTGCGTCATCATGCATCATGCGCCTCTGAATGAGTCTGGGGCCCGCATTGCAAACGCAAGCTCTTAAGTCAACGCGTTCCTGGCTTCTTTCTGCACCTCCTTCACCCAACCCTCCTGTGCTATGTGTTCTATCTCTATGTCAGCTCCTCCACCCCTCCGCAAACCCGGAGATCGTTGCTGCCCAATTCCTCACTTTAACAAACTGGCTTACACCGTGGCTCACACCGTTGGTAGGTAGCTCCGGCTCTGGCTGGCCTGGTCCGTTGTCTGGCCGGCTGCTTTTGATCGTGCAGTGAATATACCATCTTGGCATTAAAATTCTCGACAAAAATCTGTTTACGGGTCACTGCCGGTTTGGCACCTCCCGAACTGATGCCCTCTGGACTCCTACTTCCCCCGGTTCACTGCTCTGGTCGACTAGTTACGTAAACCAGTGCAAGCGCCGCACGAATTGTGTTTACGCAGCATGGAGCACGCAGTCACTGCAAAACTTAGTGGGTATGGTAATCTAGAATTGACAACTGGGCTTTGGGTGCCGCTCATGGTGTTGTATCAAGCAAGGCATAGTAGAGTGATTGCCGAGTAATCATCCCGTCGGCACCTGGCTCGTGAATTGGCCATAGCCATACGCCGCCACAAGCATCACACTAAATGCAGGAACGTGCCCATGAGCATCTCGTCATTGGTCTGGAGAGCTGCGGAAACATACTTCTTCGCGTCAAACATTGATCCTTTCACTGACTGCTATCCTTGCAATAGCACCGCATCAGCGTTTGAGCAAAGGTTTATAAGGACTAGAGGACAGTGAGTGACGGCTCATTGAAAAGACCCCAACCAACGGCCATGATGCTCCTGACCTTCCCAACAATCAGTTTCATCTTAACCCTTCTTGCCTTGACCCTCCCGATTACGGCCCGTCCCAACGCCAATCCTATCATAGGGTCAAGGAGCCAAGTGTCTCCTCTGCATAACTTTCCTTGGGTGGCCAAACGTCTAGCCAAGCCTGTCCTCGATCGTCGAGACGATAACAGCACCAAACTTGCGTTTGCTGGTGCAGTTCTTGATGATGTAAGCATCTCGCTTGAGTACAACATCCAGTTCTCACCGTTCGACTGTGCGCTTCGCACTTGTAGACTAGCTACGATTATGTCACCTCAACTTTTGTGGTTCCAACAGTTCAATCAACCGATCCGAGCGGCCCTGAGTATATTGCTCTAGGAGTTGCCTTTTACTGCAACAATATCGTCTTGACCGCCCTCGGTATCTCGGTTGCTCCCAATGGGACTATTTATATCATTGGTACGTACCCAATGAAGCTCGCGTGCTCGTAAGTGTGTTGACCACGGATGGGTCGTCGTTACCCTACACAGCGGGTGATGGTGGGGATAAGCCCGCCTTCCTACCCATACCTTTCAACATCAACGACACAGCCAGGACATCTTTACAAGCGTTGGGCAACCACAAGTTCATCGCAATTGTCGAGAATTTAACCACGAAACACAAGTCGGAGGGACTGGTCACTGCCGTTAAATATCCCATTTGTAGTAGCCGTGATGCCGTATGGGCTATCGGGGCGATCAACAAGGACGAGTCTCAGACCTCTTATGCGGACTTTGGTACTGTTACTTTCTTCAATGCTTCGGCTCGTCGACATTCTGGGAAATCGGTCGGTCCGGAGGGAGCGATCGTGTACGAAATCGCTACACCTGGTGGGACGAACCTCACTTCCACTACCGTCTCCACTTCCAGCGTGACTATTTCGTATCTCAGAAAATGACCTTGCATAATGCGTTCAATCTAAAAACTGTATTTCTCAGAAAGAGGCCGCAATGGGCCCCTGTTTTCTTTACCTTGCTTGCAAGGTCATTGCCAGGTCATAATTGCCGTGGGAAATATGTAACTATTGCAAATTCCTATGAACACATCACATGGTTCCTCTGAATCAATTACTATTTGCAAACACGTCACATGGTGCTCCATCACATGGTCCTCATGTGTGTGCCATTGTTCCAGCAATGCAACGCTGTTCCCAATGTTCCTTTGTCTTCTTGTTCAACTCTTCAAACTGTGAGTCCGCCCACTTTAGAGCCTCACACACAGGCCGTGTGAAAAGGGTTTCATCGAAATCTCTCAATAAGCGGATGGTTTTTCTCCCTGAGCTATGCGATAATGCAACGTATGCACTGAATGGTGTCAGTGCTCCAGTAGGAGGAGTTGTGAGGTTGATTATTACATGCGCGCGATAGTCCGTGGAACCATATGCTCCAGTTATAGGGAGTTGTTTCCACTTCACACTTTTGGCTTTCCCTCCTCCAATCTTCAGTTGGTACTTAGGGAAAATTGGCACCACCCCATCGGGTATGTCCCCCATCCGGCTTGGATTGCCATATTCTAATAAGAATGCACGATGGTGGGTAAACCAGCGATACTCTAGGCCCCCAGTTGGATGTTGTAGCCTCCCTCGGATCAGGGATTATTTCCACAACCTCGCCGCAAGTACCATTGGCAATATTCATATCCATGTTTATGTTTGACGTCACCATAACCTTTGCACCAATGGCAAAATGAATGATATCAGGGAGTCTTGTGCCTTCAAGGACCGCCTTGCTGTTAATGTTGGAGGAAGGGATCAAGTGATCTCCCAAACCATCAGGGAAGGGGTACCCCCCCTGGCATAACGGGCGAGTAGTGTATGGATGCACGCTAGAAGTCCTGGGTTCGATACCAGGCTTGTCCATTTTATGTCATTTGTCCAGTCACACTGGTTTACGTCATAAGAATTTGGAGCTCCAGATAAGTCCAGTAGTCGCACCGGATACAAATTTCCTCAGTTAACACCATTAGATGATTCACGTAGTAAGCATCTAACACACACTCTGCACAATGCACAGCTCAACACCGAGAACAGAGAGCCTTTCCTGCAGCGAAATGGCAAACGCTTTGGGTGAACCACCAAACCTTGAGTCAGTCACGCTACAGACGGAGTGTATGACACCACCAACAGAGCCCAGCACACCAGAAAACAAAGCCAAAAGTAGGAAGTTTCCCACCAACTATCGTGATAATTCGTTCAGTTTATGTGCAGCATTACCGGAATTGGGTGGATATGATGATAGCAGCAAAGGTGAATCGGGTTTGTTCCCTCATCATCACCTACATCCTGTGCATAAGCTGATGATGGTGCCAACAGTCCATGGCTTCTTGGGGCCCGAATTTGGTTTGGAACACTGGCCAGTGGCGCCAGAAACATTGACCTCCAAGATGTTTGAGGAGAAAAGATGGCAGACGAATCCTCTTCGCGCATATCGTGAAGGAATTGAAGGAGTTATTGCTCCTTCGGAGCATGCAACTGCACTTCCAGGGGCCACCGTACAAATGCCCTTTACACTTGCGTGCCACTTGATAGGATCTTGCACTGGGAAGAAAACAACTTTCTCTGCACATGTTGAAGAGATAATAATCCTCAAAAAACCAGCCACTCTTGTCAGTAATTGTACAGATTCTGGATCGCCATCTAAGCGGCTGTTCTCTGGACCATCCTTCTCTCCCACGAAGCGACGGAAGCTTGAGAAATAGGTATGTCTGTCTCAACCCCACCAACGAAGGGAACCACTCAGTATTTGCCTACTCTGCCCCAGACCTAGCATCTTATGGCATTGCGTGAACAAACTCATCCACGATTCAACTCAAAAGGGTCACATATGTTCACAAGAAGAGCCTTTTTATATTCAATTCACGATGTTCGCTTGATAGTTCCGCATCCCATCCCTGATCTTCGATTCAACCCATATATTCGTTTGCTAGTATTGCTAATTTTCTTGAACTGACATGAGTAAATGTTGCGACCTCCGTTGCAACTTGTGAAATGTTCACATGATCCACAAGCAAGGTCATGGTTGCGAAGCAACCTTTCTAGTTCCTGAATAGTCTTCCATGTATGTGCTTACAATTTGTAAATATCATGATGAGTTGAATGGACATCGGGCATGTTAGATTCCATGCTTGCCCTATCATGTTGGAAATGCAACAATCGGCCCCGTCATCCGGCTGTCAATAATGTGATTATTGACAGCGGTGACTACCTGAGACAGTTCTAATATCGTCGCAATTATTGGACGATATTTGGGGGTTCGACCCTCATTCTCTCTGTTATACCGTGTATAAAGAGAGCGAACATTATTTACTACTCCCCATCTCTTTTACGGGTCTGAGGTGAGGATTTCTTTACTATTTCTGAGTATTATTCTGAATGTATTGGTGCAGTCTAACGCGCCATAGCGCATATATATTTTAAAATATCAACCCACTTCCAAGGGATGCGGAGAAATATCACGACACCCTCGGAAATAGCCAATATAGTGATGAACGTTGTCTATTTCAGGGTTGGAAATATTGACGATGTGTCAGACCGCCTGGTCACTTGGTCCATCGTCAAACACAATATTGGTCACAAAACATGTGACCAGCGGTGTCGGCCGAATGAGGACAATGTTCGGGTTGTTCCGAATGACCGTGATTAATGACCTGATCAATATATTGTGACCCAGTCAATCTCTGACCATGTGACTGTTTGTGACCATGGTCAAACAACAACTCTATTTTGCTGGGGGAATTTTTTTCGCCCCCCAACCAAATGACATCCAAAGAATCCAGATGCGAACCCTGCGAGCGGGTGGATGAAGACGCTTTACGCCTAGCCAATCATCCCGAACTGGAGACGGATACCTTCAATCTTACTCGTCGTCTCAACCCCCCATACGGATGGAAGGGGCTGGTGCGCGGGCCCAAATATACTCCGTCGCTTTTGACCAGTCCGGCTTACCAGGTGACGTCCTAACAAATGTCCTAGTCTATTGTGCCCCCTGAGCGTTAGCCTTGAATCTCATATTCCCTCCCCCCACAGTCGCGAGTCTGCCTCAAACTTGTGACCGTATTTTTTGGTGAGACTCTGGAGCACAACGTCAGAGTCTTGAGAAAGGTCAATGAGAGGGCACGGCGATGTTGGGCGGGCACTGATAACATCTTACCGAACGTCACACCATGTTTAGATACTGAGAGGGGTCAAACTTTGGAGTTCCCTGAAACACCCAAATATCAACCCCTGTTATGGATGGACCTTTGAATTTCCTCGAAACGAACCACATTTCGGCATTGTTTCCCAATTTTGCCCCCATTACAATGCACCCAGATACCTCCTCAAGTACCCTGAAGCAAACCGCGAAAAAATGGTGAAGTCACAAAATGATTGCGGAGCTGAGGTTACTGGTGCTTAATTTTCTGTTAGGTCTGTGAGGTGGCTCGGGGCTTGCGTTACCTTCATGATGACGCTGGTATCGTTCACGGGGATGTAAAGCCTGTAAGTGGGTTTCATATTCTCAGTTATATATTTGATCACTGTTATCGAAGCGCAACGTTCTCGTCAGCGATGAGGGCGTAGCTATGTTAAGTGACTTTGGACAAGCAGAAATACTGGATCTTGCGCCTATAAATCTGCGAGATGCAGGAAGATTTCTTACACTCGAATATTGGGCCCCTGAAGTGTTTCCTAAAGTGTTTCCCGCTACCGATGGTGACAACATTCTCTATCGCTCTATGCCCGGCGATGTCTGGTCTTTTGGCTGTACCCTCTTGGAGGCAAGCCATCTTCCGATTTGTTCTCGTAACCAGCCGTCAACCACTCATTCTTTTCTTCTAGATCCTGTTTGGGGTAGCGCCTTACTCGGGAGTACACCGGCATCACGTCATCTGCGCCTTGATAACGGGACAACCTCCCTTCAAGGAAGTCGATACAACAACCATTTTCGGGGATGTTGCCCAGCGATGCCTAACTTTTGACGCTGATAAACGTCTTCCAATGGCAGAAGCCGTCACTATGTTGGACCCGCCCAAGGCATCTGCACCACCCATGACCTTGGCATCTTTTGCAGGTTGATGGATTGGATCGAACGAGCGTACTGGTGTGTTTTGTCATGGTGAGCCGACGAAGTACGAAGATTCTTGTGATTCTGGAATTATGCTCACTGTATTCTCACAGCTACGAGCTCTGTTCGACCATTTTGATACCGGATGTCTCATATATTAGTAGGCTGCTTGATCTGAATTTGAAGGGTGGCCCGTATCTTGATCGTTTGGATCCCCACAGCACAATCGATTTGAGGTGGTAGAGTGCTTGCTGCGCTTCGCGCAGCTCTGCACAACACACTTTTTTTGGTGGAACCCCACGCAGGTACTAGGTACCTGGGGGGGGGGGGGTTCGTGAGCAGCAGCTGTGCTCCTGAGTTGTAATGTAAGGCTGTCGTCGTTGGGTGGATCCGGAGACTCCACCGCGGGGAAATGCCCTTACGCATTGTCGGGGGGTTGCCCTAGTGTGGGGCTCGCGCTGATGGGGAGCGTCAGGAATACCCACTAAAACCCCCGCTGGTTTTCAACCAATCTCTCGGGAGGTTGTGTTCATTCATGAAAGTCCCTCTCCAGGTGTCGAGGACGAGTTTACTGGGGAGGGCTTTCAGGTCGTATTTTTTTTTTACGGTTTCTTCCTAGTCTGTCAGATTTTTTTTTTTTTTTTTTTGGTGGAACCTCAATAGCTTTCGCGGTGTGTTATACACACTGAGGTTTGATGTGGGGAGGCCCCCCGGTTGTGGTGTGTGTGAATTGGTAGATCGTGTTCAATGTAGCCGCTTCTCAACTGCCACCGCTGGGGAAATGCGTTTTACGCATGGTCTGTCGGATTCTAGTCTTTCGTTTATGGCTGCATTTATTGTGTTGTTGTGCTTCTGTCAGAGTAATAATATCATTATCGTTCTGTTCTCTGCTTATGACTCTGCGGCAGTGGAGTTTTCGTATTTGCCAGGCTGCTTCGGTGATTAGGATTCTGTCTCCGACTCTCTGCCCAATGTGTCGTTCAACTTATAATCAAAGCCCACCAACCTCATGGAATTGATCTGCGGGATTGCAACGTATGTTATTATTTACACGATGCATAGTTTTTTTTTCTTAATTGGAATGATTAACCGTTTTATTTGGAGTGGCGTCGGGCTGAGGGAAACTGGATCTAGAATGGAGGGCCTTGGGTCCTAGCACTCTGGTTTCCCTCGTGTCCGCCGCACACCTGAGTCTCTCTTTGACCTCGCGTGCGCCATAAGTACCTGCTTATGGCTCGATCTTAATTCAAATGCTGATCATTCGTGTATGTTCAGGTTGTATTTCTTATCATCTCTTGGTTTTTTCTAGCGTATTTACTACCCTTGTGTATCGGCACGTTGTATTTTTTTCTTTTGTTCGCGTCCTGCTGGATGCTTCGGCCTCTGTGCCTTCGCGCTTACTGTTGCACTTCGGCCTCTGTGCCATCTTCGCACCTACCGTTGCGCATTTAGTATACTACAGTTCCTTGCGCCTGTTGCACACATCGGCCTGTCCCATTGGCATCAGCCGTATTCCTTTTTTTTTATATCCCGGTCTTATTTTCTGTCTTTCGTCCTTTCTGACTTTTTGTTTTTCGTGTAATAGTTCGACCGTTCATTTCCGAATGTAAGTATTCGGTCTTACTAAGGGTGAAGGTGTTGTGACCTTCGGTTACCTTGTTCGCTTAAAATTTCAGAGGCTTCGACTTTTTGTCGGGGTCGTTACTCCATTGCTCCGAGTCGCCCGTTGTGCACAAGTGTCTTTCTACTATAGACGCTTAAGTACAATTGCCAACCCCCCCCTTTTAGGCATTAAGGTACGCTGTGGCCACGACTCACGATATCTGCGGCTGACTGCGGCGTCAATCGTATTGCCTGTCTTGCAATTATGTAATATGCTTGGGCGTCAATCAGAGCGCAGCGAGTTACGCTTATAAATTTTTCCCCGCAGGTCACCAGCCTCTATTAACTTGTACGCAGTTCACGTACTACGGAACTGAGCGTCCCCACGCGAGTACTCCTACTTCCTCCAATCCACTCTGTAGCGGCTCTTGGAAGCGTAGACTGAATGGCCGTGCCTGTGGTCCTGGTGGAAAGACCGGGCCAGAGCGAGATCTGAGTTTGGTTGTACTTAGGTTTATTGGGTGACCCGGTTGATTCTACGTTAGAAATAGACGTGTGGTCCCTGTAGCTTCCAGTTGAATGACTGACTTGTCATGGTGGGTTGAGTGGCGGGTATTGCCGCTTCAGGCGGCGCTTGTCAGTTATTATGTAATCCAGTGCAACCGCCGCACGAGTCGTGCTAATTACACAGCACGGAGCGCACAATTAATCCGGAACCAAAACAACGGTAAATTGAAGGGTTTGCAATTTAGCGTCGCTCATAACGCATGCCAAGCAAGGCATACTAGTAGATTGATAGAGAGCGGACTCTGAGTTCGAATTGTGCCACTGTGAACGCCATTGCTGACATACTATACTCTGGTCAGCGCCCTCGTTCATGAATTGGCTACATACAGACTATGCGCCAGGCAGGTGACCAACCTCTCTTCAACGGCTGCGCCACCGCAAGTACCACACTAAACTCAGGATCCGGAGCGTGTCTAGTGTTCGTCATTGGTTTGATGACGTGAGCTGCGGGGCCATGCGCGCTTCTTCGCAGTAATGTGATTCCTCCACCGGCTGTGTGACCCATGCGATAGCCGCCGCAGCTAGTACCGCATCGGCGCTTGAGAGAAGGATATAAAGACGGGAGAACGGGTTGAGTGATGATGGCCCAGTGAAAACCTAACCAACGGCATCATGTTCCTGACCTTCACCTTCATCACAACCCTTCTTGCCTTAACCCTCCCGGCTACGGCCCGTCCCACCACTGATCTCACCCTAAGATCAAGGAGCCAAGTGTCTCCGTATGACTTTCCTTCGGTGGCCAAACGTCTAGTCAAGCCTGGCCTCCATCGCAGGGACGATAACAGCACCCTTGTATGGGCTGGTGCAATTCTCGACGATGTAAGCATCCTGACCGAGTACCCATCTGTTGCACAGCTGAGATTCTACCGTTCGACCGTGCGCTCTTCCGCACTTGTAGGCTAGCTACGACTATGTTACCTCAACTTTTGTGGTTCCAACGGTTAGATCGACCGACTCGAGCGGCCCTGAGTATATTGCTCTAGGAGTTGCCTTTTACTGCGACAATATCGTCTTGACCGCCCTCGGTATTTCGGTTGCTCCCAACGGGACTGTTGACATTATTGGTACGTACCCAATGAAGCTAGCGCGCCTGCAAGTATGTTGACCACGAATGGGTCGTCGTTGCCCTACACAGCGGGTGATGCCGGGGATGAACCCACCCTCCTAAACATAACATTCAGCGTCGGTGACATAGCCAGGACATCTATAAAAGCGTTGCACAACCACACATTCGCCGCAACTGTTGAGAACTTGACCACGAAACACAAGTCCGGGGGACTGGTCACTGCCGTCAAGTATCCTCTGTGTAACAGTCGCTATGCCGTATGGGCTATCGGGGCGGTCGATAGGAACAACACTCAGACCTCTTATGTGGACTTTGGTACCGTCACTTTCTTCAATGCCTCAGCTCGTCAACATTCTGGGAAATGGGTTGGTCCAGAGGGAGCGACTGTCAACGAAATCACTACACCTGATGGAACGAATCTTACCTCCACTACCATTTCCTCTTCCAATGTGACTGTATCGTATATCGGAAACTGATCTGCCATATCCGTTCGATATAAATAAAACTGTATTTTTGACATGGACTCCTCGTTTTCTTCATCTTTCATAGTGAGTGCTAGTCTTTTCATGTATGCGCTATAAGACTTGTATTCTAATGATGAGTTGAGTGGACATTACTACTAGGCGTGTCGGATTCCATACATACTTTCTTTATAAACGGATCTACAAAGCTTGGCACTGCTCTCGGGGAAATGTGCAATAAATGGTTATTTCGTCAACATAATTGATAACTCTTACACGAGCTGGTGCCAGAGCAAATAATAAAATAAAATAAAATAAAGACCTCTGAGGGCCGAATTGTCATCCCTGTGAATAGGGCTCAAGACTCGAGGGCCGAAATAGTCTTCCTGCTAAAGGGCTGGTCAACCTGCCTATGAATAGAACGGCTTCCGACGGTCCTCACTCGGTCTATGCCGGGGCCTCGGTCCCGACAAGTCACCCTCGTGACTTTATTTGGGATTCGACGGCCGGACGTGTTGCCTCAAATCACAGCTAGCAGTTGACTTACGTGCTATCTAAACCGACGTGAGAGCTAAGTGTTAGAATGTCCAGTGACGCCGAAAAGTGCGTGTATGCGCATCTCGCGACGGTAGCTAATTACTGAACTGCCCAAACGGCCCAGCGAGAATGCTTCAGGTTCTCTGTCCAACCTCGGTATGTCGTCCCTTTGACACATTCTTAGTTGCTCATTGTTAATCCATTAGCTGCGGAGGACACCATTAAAATAATGCTTGCTACTGATAATCACATTGGCTATCTGGAACGCGATCCAGTTCGCGGTCAGGATGCTATAAACACATTCGAGGAAATATTGAAATTAGCGGCGGAATACGAGGTACGTTTAGTCCATTAATTTTGCCTCCATATCATTGGAGTATTTTCGAATCAAGGTAGATTTAATTCTCCTTGGAGGGGATTTGTTTCACGAGAACAAACCATCCCGCGAGAGTTTGTACCGAACATGTGCTTTATTGAGAAAGTACACTATGGGGGATAGACCTGTGCAGATAGAGGTCTTGAGCGACCCTTTTGAGGGTAAAGGCCCAGGATTTGAGTAAGAATCATCCTAACTTGCCGACTAACCGATATACACCTCGCCATTACCTAGTTTCCCTGCTATCAATTATGAGGATCCGAATTACAACGTTTCTACTCCAATATTCTCTATACACGGAAATCATGATGACCCACAGGGTTCCGTCTCTGGTACCGATGGTGCACTTTGTGCATTGGATGTTCTGTCCATCACTGGCCTCCTAAATTACTTCGGGAAGTCCGATTTGCCCTCGGACGATTACGCTCCGAACACAAGGGCACATGGCCATGATGCTGGTGCTAGCTCGTCATCCGAAGGTCTTCAAATCAAACCTGTCCTTCTCCGGAAGGGCCGCACTCATCTAGGTCTCTACGGGGTTGGGAACGTCAAAGATTCCCGGATGCACTACGAGTTGATGAACAATCGAGTCAAGATGTGGAAGCCCAAGACTGGGAACTGGTGTAACTTTCTAATTGTCCACCAGAACCGGTACAGACCCCAGACTTCCCATCTTGATTCACATGTCAAACGCTAATTCTTTCATAATGTTGTAGCGTCAAGCATTCGATGGGAAACTACGTCCCAGAGACATTATTCGATGATTCGATTAATCTTGTCATTTGGGGTCATGAGCATGATTGCAGGATGAGCCCGGTCCCGGTTTCGGGAAAATCATATCATATCACCCAACCAGGCAGCTCCGTAGCCACAAGCTTAACTGAGGGCGAAGCGATCCACAAGTACGTCCATCGGTTATATGATGTCTTCCACCACTTCTCAAGTTGCTAGCGTTTAGGCATGTTGCGATCATTCGTGTGCATGGAACAGATTACGATCTGACGCCGATCCCGCTGAGGACTGTGCGGCCCTTCATCTGTGAGGATCTTGATTTAGGAGATGAACTGGAAGACAAGGGGTTAGATGTGAATGATCAGATGGAAATAATGAAAATCATCCGGAGTAGAGTACGTCTGTCTCCCAGGCTTCTGTTCTGGTCGTGATACCTCACATTAATTTCTTCGCCTTTAGGTGGAAGAATTGATCGTCAAAGTGAAGGACCAATGGGTGAGCGAATGCAAGGATATTTCCCCGATGATTAGAAGCAACAAACTACCCGAAAATGCTACCACTGATACGCTTGAGGGTAACCTCATCGGAATTGTCAATGTTAAAGCCCGTTCTTAAATCGCCTATCTTAGGTCGACACGACAGATATCCCTAATATGGGCAATCCGAACAGATTTGGGCAGGAGTTTCATGGTCGAGTGGCGAACAAAGACCCGATTGTATATCATCAAACGAAAAAACGAGCCCAACGTTAGTTCACAGCTAGATAAGTTGAGTGGGGCTCTGATAATCTCTTCGTTCTGCAGGGAAAATTAAGGCAGATCAACCCAAACTGTCGATTGATGAGGATCCTGAAATTGCTACTTTGTCTCTATCGGAGAAGTTATCACGGATCCGGGTTGGTACTCTTGTCCATGAGTATCTTTCTGCACAGGAGCTGCAGCTACTCGGAGAGAATGGTATGAGTGACGCAGTTCAGATGTTTGTGGACAAGGATGATTCCCACAGCATTCAGACGTCAGTTCTGCACCTTCAATTTTCACACATGAATCGTAGCTTAATTGACTTGTTGTAGCTATGTCTCTAAGGCACTTGACAAGATGATATCAAGCGTAGACGCTGGGGATGCTTTGGATGAAAACGAAGTTGCCAATACGGTATGAATGCCAGTCGATAGCGTACTTATCCCCTCATTCCTGACAAATTGTTTTAGCTTACCAGACTGAAAGAACAGCATGAAGCCGAATATGAAGCAGAGCAAGAAGCAAGACGAGTTAACAGGGTAAGCCTATTGCCGGTATTGATGATCAGACAACTGAACTTGGAATGTTAGGGTAAAGGCAAATCAAAAGCTTCAGCGCCCGCTCCAGACCGTGATTCTATGGACGAGGACGATGATTTCGGGGATGCGATGTCCATGGACGAAGTCGAGGATGCGCCGCCTAAATCAAGGGCAAAAGCCTCCTCAGCTACTGCAAAGAAATCCGCAGCCAGCTCGACTAGAAAAGCCCCAGCTAAAAAGGCAGCGGCTCAACCCAGAGGGAAAGCGAAGAAGAAACTGGTTCGTCTTTGATGCCCATGCAATCATGTGCATCCGCTTATATGATCCACTAGTTTGACGATAGTGACGAAGTTGAGGAAGATCAACTGGATGAGATAGAAGAGGAACATTGAAGAATCGCCACCACCACCACAGCCAAAAAAGAAAAGTCGAGCCGACGTTTTAACTTCGTAAGCAGAATGGTGGACATTTTTTTTGAGGTGAAATAGTAAGCTAAAGCCGCAGTCCAAAAGAAAACCTCCGGCCAAATCAGCCCCAGCTAAAAGGGGCTCAGCAAAGACCACACTATCGTCCGGGAATCGAACTACCTCCAGAGCTGCTGCATCAAAAGCGCGGAATAAAATGCAGACGGTACGGGATCAATTTTCTGATTACCTTTAAGGGAGTCTTCTGAGTTGCTATGCGCAACATTTATTAGATCGACCTCAGTGATTGATTGTCGACATTTTTCTCTGCTGTTGTATGACGTCATTACATACGGCGATTGCCGTTCTCGATGTTAGCTTGAATCTCCCGATCTCCAATCGTTGTCGAGAAATGCCTGTGTCACCAGAAGTAATAGAGGAGACTTTAAAGAGGTCACTGAATATAATTCATCTCGTATGCATCGCTTCCCACATGCGGCGCGCGTTGGGAATCTTATTGGTTTGGGTGTAGAGCATCACAGACACATCGTCGGGTTGTGGTCAGAACTACGAGGTCCTGATCGTTAGTGATGATTTTGAAGGCAAGAAGACGTTGGAACGCCACAAATTGGGCAAGTTTAGCATCATGTAATGGTATATGCCATCTTACAATGCTTTCCCTTCAGTGAATGAGATCCTGAAGGATGTTGTAGCCCAGTTGCACGCGTTCTCTCAGGTATTTTCATACCCCCGCAGGAGGATTTGGTAACTCCGCTTACTTACCCAACACGATTAGAAATCATTAACCCTAAAACAATACGAAGCCCAGAGAGCCAAAGGTTTAATTGCTTGAGTGGACTATATAAGAACGCTCATTTGCAGAATTCGGAGATGGCCTATAGTGCGCGAGTTATCGGTTTGCAATGATATATACATACGTGACGATCATAGAAAGTGAAACACTATTTTAAGCGACGCTGAAGTTGTTTTGATAGTCGATGGCAAAGTATGCACGCGATAGCGGCGCTTACCCCTCCAATTCTGTATTTCTGGGGTTTCAGTGGTGAACGAGAAGGGAAGAGCATCATAGAAAGCTCACCTAAACATTAAACCTATCGAGTCAAATGGTTGTTTTTCTGAGTCGCGTTGTAGTAAGGCGATAGTGGTGGAGTTTGAAGGGAATGATGTTGTGTCATTCGAAGATACACTCGAGGGCGAATCGGATAGCGCGAATACCACTGCAGATAATCCTGTGACTAGAAACTGGGGGACGACGATGAAGATGTTATGGATGCCCTGTCCAAGGATCTGCTTGTAAATACTATCTCTTTATTTTCACTGCTCGGACTTACGAGAATCACACCGGCTTTATCGCTCACTCCACTCTTCCCTACTGTGTCTGGATCTTCCAAAAATCCAGCATCCTCATCAAAACCTTCATCTTCCGCCGCCCTTGTTTCGAACTGGAACGTGTTTACTGGAGTGCTATCCTCATCCGTAAGATTCGTGTGACTGACACGGGCAGATAAGTTTGCGAAGTCGGGCGTCGCGTCCGGCGCCGGATAATCGGATATTTGGCGCATTTCAGGACGACTTCGTTCTTGCAGGGGTATAGCATGTTCAGAATAATCACCGACAGGATCTGTAGATGATGCTAGAGTGTATGAAGACCTGGGTCCACCTGATGAATGTATAGCTTCCCCGAGCTGTCGCAGGCATATGTGCATATGTTAGCTAAGTGTGCATCATGCATCGAACAGACATGCTCACGAGGGCAAATGGGGCCCAAAGCGAAACGGACCACGAGAAGCCAGTCGCAGCAATAATAATACTCGCAGCCGTCACAGTGCTTGTAAACCTATGGGCTTGGGAATATTAGCTACCGAACCGGTCCATTTGGAAACCACAGACCAGGTGGCTGCCATAGAAATGGCAAAGACGGCTTGGGATATAGTCCATAGGGTACAGATATGGATCTTCCACCATGGTTCCTTAGTTCTAACTGCCGATCGTGCACCGAGTCCTGCAGTTGCCTCCCAAGGACCGGCATCATCCTCTATGCCGCTAGTTCCAGTGACCAAGAAAGGTAGAAAAATGAAACCTGCCATCGCAAGAATGGACGAGTATAGGAGCGCAGTGTTGCCCATCAATGTCCCTGCCTCATATCCATTTCTCGGAGATTCTTCACGGAGCCAGTAAAAGCGTGGCGATGGGGACATAGACGATGGAAGATTCCTGTAATAAATGTCGGAGATCCAAAGTGTGGTGTAGAATAGAACAGGGAACCACCCAATCCAAGATCTGAACGAGAGTCGATGAGTAATGGGAATGTCCATTGTGAAATCAAGACCCACAAGAACTGTATTATGCACTGCGTCGGATGGCGAAGAATGAATGAGCCTGTCGATGCAGATAAAAACTGAACATACAATCTGAAGAACAACGCGGGGCAATGTTAAAATATTGCTCCATATCTCTTTCACAGTCGCTAGAGATCCCCCTGAAGGCTTCCGAGTATCTCTAAACAGGGGGCCGGCCAACTTATTAGCGTAGCCTAGCGGAAGACAGCACGCTGGCCGCCTACGTTGGTGATTCCATAAGGACGCGCTCGTGAACGGTCCAAATTGTCAAGCCATGAGTTGTGAGGAGAAGGATCCCTGAGAGCGCCGAAAGCACTTCTAGCTGAGTGTTTCCCAGAAAGGGGAACAATCTGGGTAGGGACACGTTCCCGCTACATGAAAACAATTAAGTTTGCGCTGTGAAACGTCAGCCATGTCCACATACATGAAAAATCCAGCAATGCTGCCAGCACCGGACATACGACCAGCCCAGGCATTTCCTAGCTCTTGCTCCTCAGTGGGAAGGGTATCCACCAAAAGCGCTCGGTCCGCTGCCATTACAGCATTGATACTGAAGTCAATCAAATAAATTGACAGGACGGCCAAGGCAATGGTAAGGCGTCGGTGCTATGCAGAAAGGCATGAAAATTCCGTCACTGATGACACTGAAACCGATGCACACCGTCATGTCGCTCAAGCCAAAAATCAAAGTAAAATCATTGGTATAACCGAGCAACAGCAAGGAAGCAAAACATATAGAACACCCTAGTAGAATGAAGGGTCTTCTTCGTCCAAACCGGGAGGTAGATCTATCGGACAAAGCTCCTGTAAGAGTGAATTACGTCTTAACGACGTGAAATATGGGAGAAAAAAAATAGTATTACCGATAACGGGTTGCATGATTAGCCCTGACAAAGGCCCCGCTACGAACACCATAGAAATCCATGACTTTTTAACGCGGCAACGGTATTAATGCGCCATTCATCATCCAAGCCAAGAACGCATACTTTCGAGAGACCGAGCGACAATAAATAAGGCGATGCTACACATATGTTACTCCATTGCCCAACTCAAACCCTGGAATGGCTCACCATACCCCATCTCGACACTCCAGACGATCTGCATGCCGAGCATTGTCACAGTAAGTAGTGGCATCTTGGCCCATACCGGACCTTTGACATTGGGAACACCAGACCACCTTCTTCTATCATTGTGGCCTGCCTCCGTATCTCCAATGATGCCTATTCCGCCCCCGGCCATGGACAGCGTGAACTGTCTGACAAGACCCAGGTAAAGTAGCCAGAGCAAGTTTTTAGCAGCGCGGAGCAGTCACGTGCTTCACAATCGCGGATTGCACAACATATACAAATTGGCTTGCACTCTCGAACCCTGTTGTATCCTACAGTATGTCAATAGATGCACGCGCGCCTCGCGTGAAGAACAGGGCGCCTGCAGCGATCCAAATCACTGCAGAGCAGCTCTTGCGTGAAGTAAGTTTTATTCTCTTTGTTCTCCCTCCTATGCTGAAGCTTGTCTTTTAGGCCCAAGAGCGGCAGGAGGTTGCATTTCGTGCTCCCAAGCAGAGAGTCGAGGATTTTGAGGAATTAGATGAGTACCGTGGGCGGAAACGGAAGGAGTTCGAGGAACGTATTCGGAGAACAAGAGGAAATGTATCTGACCGAGCTATTGCAATGCATTCCCCCGATTGACCTATGTTCTCCTAGATCAAAGAGTGGACTGCTTATGCGTCTTGGGAGGCTAACCAAGGCCAATACGACCGATCTAGGTCAGTGTATGAACGAGCATTAGATGTCGATCCCAGAAATGTCCGGCTATGGCTGAGTTATACGGAAATGGTACGTAAATTGAGGCTGAAGAATAAAAGTTTTTTCTGATCCCGCCGCTGATGCATGTAGGAATTAAAATCCCGTAATGTTCAACACGCCCGTAATCATTTCGACCGTGCCGTCACTCTTCTTCCGAGAATTGATCAATTATGGTATAAGTATGTGTACCTGGAAGAATTGCTCCAGAACGTTCCGGGGGCACGCCAGGTGTTCGAAAGATGGATGAAGTGGGAGCCAGATGATAAGGCATGGCAAGCATATATCAAACTGGAGGAGCGCTATGGTGAACTCGACCGCTCGAGTGCCATTTATGAAAGATGGGTTTCGGTCAGGCCTGATCCCCGGGTATGGGTAAAATGGGCGAAATTCGAGGAAGAGCGGGGGAACCTTGGTGAGTGGCGAGTTATTGTTGTTGAATCTTCGAGACGACAAAATGTGCTAGAAAAGTGTCGTGAAGTCTTCCAGACTGCTCTAGAGTATTTCGGAGACGACGAGCAGCAAGTGGAGACAGCCCAAGCAGTATTTGCTGCCTTTGCGAAGATGGAAACGCGACTTAAAGAGTATGAGCGTGCGCGTGTCATCTATAAGGTTGGTCTTTGCATTCCCATCATCGTCTGATCAATGCTCAGATCCTTTTTAGTTTGCTCTGTCCCGCCTGCCCCGTTCGAAATCCGCCTCCCTTTACGCCGCATACACAAAGTTTGAGAAGCAGCATGGCGACCGTACTGGTGTTGAAGCCACAGTTCTCGGAAAGAGACGAATACAGTATGAGGAAGAGATATTGCAAGACCCGCATAATTACGACGTCTGGTTTGATTATGTCAAATTAGAAGAAGATGCTTTCCGTTCCGAGAGCAGTCCGGAAGGCGAGGCTGCTGCCATGAACAGAGTACGGGAGGTCTACGAGAGAGCCGTGGCCCAAGTGCCTCCCGCATCCGAAAAACGGTATTGGAGAAGATATATATTTCTATGGCTTAATTACGCCTTATTTGAGGAAATTGAAACTAAAGTGAGTAATCTTAGCAGAATGTGTCATTTGGATCTATACCAATGGCAAACGCTCAGGACACAGCTCGTGCACGCCAAATCTACAAGACCGCAGTCCAGCTTGTGCCCCATAAGCAATTTACTTTCGCTAAGCTATGGACTATGTTTGCAAGATTTGAAATTCGGCAAATGGATTTGCAGACAGCGCGAAAAATCCTAGGGACAGCTATTGGCATGTCTCCGAAAGAAGCCTTGTTTAAAGGCTACATACAACTAGAGCTTGAGGTGAATAACCCAAATCCTCCACCCCTTAGCGCGTTCTGAAAATCAATATTTTTAGCTACGAGAATTCGACCGTGTCCGCACGCTTTATGAGAAATATTTGGAAGTAAGAATTGCCTCTAATGCTCTTATCAGATTAATTTTTGATATTCCCCTACAGTACGATCCAACAAATTGTTCGGCCTGGATTAAGTTTGCGGAGCTTGAATCCACTTTGGGTGATCTCTCCCGAACACGGGCTATATTCGAACTTGCAGCTTCTCAACCAGCACTCGACATGCCGGAACTCTTATGGAAAGCTTACATTGATCTTGAAGTTGAGGAAGGCGAACGCCAGCGAGCTCGAGCGTTATACGAGAGGCTATTGGAGCGGAGTGGACATGTTAAAGTTTGGATTGCATATGCCCTTTTCGAAGGGGCACGATTAGGCGGAGGTGACGATGAGGATGAAGATGGAGGAGGGGATGACGAGGAGAAAGATAATGGTGACCCAGAGAAGGCCCGTGCTGTCTTCGAAAGAGGCTACAAGGACTTAAAAGGAAAGGAATGGACAGATGTGCGTCACATTCTTGTTCCGGCCGCTTCGGGTTCGTTGATCATTTCTTGCTCATGTTCGCAGCGCGTTGCTCTGCTCGAAGCATGGAAATCATATGAGCAAGAACACGGTACTCCACAGGAAGTTGCACATGTTCAATCGCTTATGCCACAAGCTACGAAGCGGCGCAGAAAGATTAATGATGCAGGAGACATGGAAGAATGTGAGTGCAACAATATCCCTTTCTTCACTGCTTCGGCACTCCGGATATAGTTACTGACGCACTACTGTCACAACAGATTGGGACATGGTCTTTGCAGATGATGAGAAGAAAGCCAACCCAGCTGGATTCAAGTTCTTGCAGATGGCGCACGCCTGGAAACAAACCCAGGCAGCTGGTGGGACGGCCGCTAGTGGCATTACTGGTCTTCCATCTTTCCCTGGATTTGTCAAGTCGACGGAGGCATCCCCCACCCTTCGAAATGGAGATTCTGATGGCCGATCAGAGGAAGAGCCAAATGGGAGTGACGAGGACGAGGACGAGGCGAGTGATCATCAGTAAAACCGATATTACCGTTTCCACTTGCAGCGGTTCATTCGCAGTTGCGTCGCCACTTTGGGATCAGCGTTTCTGTCTATGCGTAATTTTATCTTGATTCTACACATAATTTAGGACCAGAATGAAAGCCGCACTAGTGTCAGGGGAGCACACCCCGGCTACTAGGCCAAGTAGCACTGCAACATCTGATCGCATATGTATTATTTACAACAGGGGAATGAAACGTTGAGGTTTGTAGCACCATACCAAGCCAAGCTAGGGGCATACGTATATACGGTCTGACGAGAATTCAATAAAGAGGACGGGTGCAACTACCAACGACATCAGGCTCAAGCGGAATCCCAATCGTCCGAGTCCTGGTTTGCCGCTTCCGCAGCGGCCACCTGAGCAGCCTTCTCCACCGGAACTGTAAAACATCCCGTCAGTTGATGGCCCTGCCTCCCTCGCAAACGTTTGGAGAGAGATGCTTACCGAAATAAGGGTGATCCATTGCTTCCCTTGCAGTGAGACGTTCTTGGTGATCATATCGAAGGAGTTTATCCAACAAGTCAAAAGCTTCGCTTGAGATGTATCGTTGATTCTCAGGTACGATGAATCGCGACCAAGGTTTGCGTTGACATCTTTGCGATGCGAAAGCATAACATGAGTGTGAAGTAGAATACGAAAAGTGAGAAATGGTGACCTGGGGAGTTGAGCCTCTAGTTCTATGTCGTATTTCTCAAGGTAGGCGTCTAGATCGTCTGTCCCTAAGACCCTAGAAATCCTCGAGAGTAGGTCGTAATTATCATGTCCATGGAAGAATGGCTCTTTGCGGAAAACCTGTCAAACACAGAACCGTACTTGTTGCCACAACCGAAGAGGCGGGGAGAAAGGCCTGACGAGTTGACTATGGAGACGTACCATGGCCGCAAATATGCATCCTAGACTCCACATGTCGAGACTGTAGTCATACATTCTGAAATCGACGAGAAGTTCAGGCCCTTTGTACCATGGTAAGGCGACGCGGAGGCTATACTCCGCCCCAGGGTGGTAAAACTCTGCTAGACCCCAATCTATGAGGCGGAGCTAGAGACAAGGAGTAGTAAGCAAGGAAAAATAGTGAAGAACAGCCCCGAGATACCTCTCGTTTCTCATGGTCAATCATGATGTTGTGCGGTTTTACATCTCGGTGCATTATCCCTTTAGAATGGCAAAAATCCAGGGCCTACAAATGGCATTTGATCCAGAACGGGTCAACTCCTCAAGCTCATGCCCCTCATTGTGATATGGCCATGTACCTTCAACAATTCAAATACATAATACCTCACATCAAAATCTGTAAACTTTGGATAGAGGACTTTAAAGTCCGTATTCTGGGCATATTCCATGATTAAGCTCGGGGTCTTTGAATTGAATTCCCAAACGGTGTCGAGGAGTTGGGTGACATTGGGCCCTCCTGACAAGTTTTGCAGAATTTTGATCTCACGTTGAATCTTCTTTTGCTTGATTGGTTTGAGGACTTTGATTATGCATGGCTTATCCGTTACTACATGTATACCTTCGAAAACCTGAAGATAAGGGGGTTCCGTTAGATGTGGGTATGCACCCGTCGAAGGGAGGTAGAGTGGGCCAAGAGGATTCTTGAGAGATGATTTAGTCACCTCGGAATGCTTCCCCCTTCCGACTTTGCGAATGACTTCGTATTGACCCTGTTCTCCCCATTTGACTTGGAGCGAATCTTGCATGCGTCAACAGGAGGATCGGACAATCACTGGGATAAACCTGAGGTTTGCGCTTACCATAGTCGTGCCATGAAGGGCCAAATCTTTCGTTTACGTCTGCGTACACGCGGGATACGCTCGGCTTGGGCATTGAAACCGATGGGCGCTGTTGTTCTAGGCACCTATTATGTGCACGTTAATTGTCTGGGGAGAGGGGAAAAGAAGAGCAAGAGGCAGAGTGCTGGGGTGGAGTGGGTATCCAGGATGCAAGAGAACGACAGGAATGGACTCCAAGAGGAGCACATTGAATGACCTGAAGAGAGCGAGGTCACGCCTTTCCGCCGTAATTTGCTTGTTGCCGACCTCTTAAGGCAAGGGTGCAAAAAAAATCGGCGCATCTAATTTGATTGGATATATCGGGAGCAACTCCGATTGGGATAAATGGGCGCTTATCATCGTGCCCCAACAGCACCGCTACACGAAGACTTTTAATCGGGGATCACTGAAGGTAACCGGTGAGAATAGCTGTGACAAGTCGTAGTTGGGCAATGGTTGCAACTGAGGTAAGGACATGACATGAGACGAAACACAAGACACAGGGGAGAGTCCAGCGGCACAGGAGAATGGGGTAGAGATGGGGGGTGCGCGTGGGATTCAATACACAGTTTCTCACTGTTTGAGACTAACCCAACTCATCTGTTGAACCAGTGGTGTCCACCCAGTGTGCCCCTCCACCGTTGCGCCGTCGCCTTGCCACTCAAACTAAGGCACCATTGCTACCTGTGTTTTTTTTGTCATACACATAGCCCTTCCCTCTCCTGCCTCTTCGTTTTATTCTATAAATACCGGATGTTGGACCCTGCGGTACATCATCGGCAACGTACCGTAGTTTTAATACACACAGCGTGAATGACAGGTATTGACGATATGTTGACCGACATTGAATGAAATGGTAAATGTCCGGTGGTTAAAGCAACGACATTATCAGCGATGACTTGGGCTGCATGGGTTTGGGGTGGATTTCACAAAATGCAGAATGAAAAAGCAGGCAGCGCCAGGATAGCAGAGGCCAGGTGTACCGATCCAATTTTGGACCGGAATTACATGCGTAGCTCATCGCAAAGGCAAGCAGGCACATTCGAGAAAACGCAGAAACACACAAGGAAGAGCAGATGCAACACTTCGACAGGCATGTGAAGTTAAGCCGGCAGGTGAAGCAAGGCGCTTGCGGACAAGCGCTTACCTATAATTGGTCTTGATATTGTATGTCGAGAAACCCCGCCTGATCGCGCGCGATGCTAAGACATTGGGCACGTCAGATATCTCAGCAGCATCAGTTCCGCGGACAGAGCTCCACTTGGCAAGATGGGGGGAAGCCTCGGATGGCAGCTCAAGAGAGCGTGAAGCGCGAAACAAGGGTGGAGGCACCTTCAATGCTAGTGAGGATCCCACAGGACGCGCCAGTTGTGGTGGTCATATCTTAATTTGCTACCATTTTGGTATGGTTACAAGGCACAAGCGTCCATTCATTACTTGCTCCTTTTTTCAAGAAATTTTCTGCAACTTTGTCACCTCAAGACTCGGGGCAGGAAGGATGTAGAGGCCAATGTTGTGATCGCCAAGTGGGGAAAGAAGTGCTCCCGATTAGGATGTCGCGGACTGAGCACGGTTCCCGAATACGTGCCACTGCAAGGCCTCCACTGGAAGCCAACTCTGCAGGCCGAAGCCGCACTAGCTCCTCAGCAGCGAATCCCGCTTGTCTACGTGAGGATTTCTTGAACTTCAGGTCTTATATATCGGCTGCGCGCTAGGAGCGAAAGCCCGCTTCCCTTATCGATTCGCTGTGCTCGACCTGACTTTCTTTACGTAATCAGGGGATTAGATAAGATCGAAGCGTCCATCGATTTCCTATGCTTGATTTTGATTTTGAGGGTCATCCAATAGGAACTAGTCCATTACTGTAATCTTGTCTCTCTAACTCTCAACATCAATTCGACCACGCGTTTCCATTCGTCCATGTCAGGGGAAAGACCTGGTGACTCGCTCGCCAATTATCGCTATCAGCCATTGCCCATCCTCTCTTCGTCTCGAAAGCAAGTTGAAGGCCCACGCCTCAGTTGCCATCTGCCCGTGAACCTGCCTGCGGAACGCATCAACATTAGTCATCCAGACATTCAGTTTTTCATCAAGGCTGCGTTTGGACGTCTTATTCTGCTTTACCTCGAGACGCAAGACTTCCTCTTTGGTGAGGTAAAGGATGATACTCGAGCGCCCACGAGTGCAGCGGCTGCCTCTACTGAAGATCTCGACGAGGCCACTCGTTTTCTTAAATTCTTCAGATTTCAAGTAGCTCGAAACTCTGTCCCCCCTCGCCATTGCGGACTGGGGCCGATAATATATCCATATCAGAGCAGCAACATATAGAATCCTTTACTTGGCTTACACTCATCAACGATCTTAAATCTGCCGCGGCAGACACGTCCCAGAGAAACTATGTTAACACCAACGCAAACAGTGATTCTGATGGCTCACCTTCCAAATTGGGGAATGACCCTGATTACACATCGGAGCCACAAGCGGAGCTGGCGCCAAGAAAACGCGAGAATGGAGTCCTGGACCCCGCAAGCCTAGCCAACATTCGGGAACGCATCGGTCTTGATCATGATTCGAAACAGTTTCCCTTCCCTGTTATCTTCTCCTGGGGTTGGGCTGACCCGCCGACTATTTCTGAACATGGGCTGGCCAAGTCCTGCAATGGTGCACGAATGAAGAGCATGAGGGGAAGGTGGATGAGGGGTATCGCACCACTGGGTCCAATACTAGAGCTAGAAACATTTATACTTGGTGCCACTTTCCTTCCCATCGTCAACCCTAACGAACCCCCCGATGAAAGCTCGGCTGCAGGCACTAATTTCAGCAGTCTCATTCTTCACTTTTCCGTCCATCCGAACCTAATGTCCATGTTGATGCTCAGAACATTCGCGCATCAAGCCAAACATTTACTCGAGGCGATACTGAAGAATCCAGAAGGGGAGTGTACTATTGAGTTTGTAAGTGAATCTTTGTCTGGGGCTTTCGATTCTCCCAATGAGGCAGAAAGTGAGAGCATGGAAAGTTTAGATGGTAAGTTTGACTTCGTGTACTCTCTTCTACTCTATCATGATATTCGCTTCGAAGGGATGATTGAATTAGACAAGTCATCGATATCTGTTGCATCATCGGTTTCCGAAGCCGCCGGGACGGAATCCTCCGAAGACTCCCTCTCTTTACTTTCATCCTACACCCATCCCTTATACGAAGCTGAACTTGCAAGAGCTCAGCACCCTCTCAAATGGCTTACCTTAATGGCGCACGATCATCCTGATCGTGTAGCGCATGAAATCTACACGGCTGATGATCTTCGCGCTCACGAGGAAGACGATGGTGAACATGAGGAACAGGGGAGCTTAAAACCGAGTGTTATGTTGACGTATGGGGAGTTGAATCGGAGGGCAAATGCTGTTGCGAAGTGGTTATTGTCAGGCTCGATTTCGAAGAGTAAGGAGAAGCAAGGAGAAAGGGGGAATGTAAAGGTGAAGAGAGAGAAGATCTGTGTGTGTATGGAAAGGGATGCGGCGTTTTATGTGATCATGGCTGCGATCTGGAAAGCTGGTGGGATTTATTGCTCCGTGAGTTGTTTATCCTCTATTTACCAGCGTTGCCCCCCTCCCTCTGGGACATCGTCTCCATCATGTCCTCGATGGTCCATTGGACCATCATTAGCTGGGACATACAGTGACTGATTAAGTGAATTGGTTCTAGATTGATCCAACGTTACCCGTCGAGAGGAAGAGGTACATTGTGAAGGACAGTGGCTCGAAGTTGGTTTTCGTTCATACTCCTGAGGAGAGGGAGGCTCTACTTTCCGAGTTTGAGGATGAGGATGAAGGTGAGATATTATGTGGGTAACTCGTTGTGTATACAATGGTTCTAACCTTCATGGTTATAGCTCCCATAGTTTCCATATTAGAGGATGAATACGACTTGGAGCGATGCGAGCCTGTTTTCGAATTAAGCCTTCGCTGGGGAAGCGTTGAAGAGATGGACGTCGAAGAATCAGGTTTGGATGATGTCTCGTACCTTCTGTACACTTCTGGTAAGTGCATTGGATACACCCGTCTATCCCCTATCCTCTTTATTTCTCCGCCTCACTTTTTTGTATGAATGCACGGAAGGCACGACCGGGAAGCCTAAGGGCTGTTTGTTGACATATCGGGGTGTTTACCATGCGATCACGGGCTTGGCTGATCTTCCCCGTCCCATTACTAACCCGGAAACGGACAAAAGACTCGCGATGGCGTGTGCGTATTATTGTTTTCCCTTACCTCTCTTTCGTTATCTCCCGACAATTAAAAATTCGTATCTAGCTATTGCATTTGATGTACACATTTCCGAAATCGTCATTTCATGGGCCCTTGGTATCCGGCTCGTTTCTGCGCCTTCCGCGAGGTTTGAATTGTTGAGTGATCTTAGGAGGAATATCTGGAGATTGGGTGTGACGCATTTGGGTATGGTACCCAGTATGATCGAGGCTACGTTTCAAGCTGGTAACTCACGGGGAGGAGCGGAGGAAGGGAAGAAGGTTGGGCTGAAGTACCTTGCGAGTGGAGGGGAGAAGATTAGCGATTCGGTGAGTGGGAATACGGTGCCATGAATTTGTATTGCTGATGGCAAAGCGGGCGGATTTAGTTGATGGAGAGATGGTCGGATCATCCCAGTTTGATTTTGGCAAATGCTTACGGGTATAGTCCCTTTCTCTTCGGTTATGGGACTTCAGTACTGATGCATGTTCGGTTTCGGTTGCGCATAGACCAACTGAGGCGACGATTGGGTGCACCCTTCGTCGTGTGCACAAAAATGATCGCAAAGAGAATCTTGGGTGGCCGATGAAGTCTTGTAGAACCTTCGTCGTCCATCCATCTTCGGGTTCTGAGAGTCCATTTATGGTGGTTCCAAGAGGTGTACCGGGGGAATTGGTGCTGGCTGGACCATTGGTCGGCGTCGGGTATCATAATAACAAGGAAGCGACGAGGAAGGCATTTATTGAGTGGCCAGAAAAGGGTGCCATGGCTTATCGGACTGGAGATCTTGGTATGTCTATAAATCCGTGTTTCTTGACAAGGAGCGATAGTGGTGCTAATTTCTGTCCCCGGTGGTCTCAGTTCGTATGATGCCTGACGGCGCATTGGAGATCCTTGGTCGTGTTGATTCTCAGATCAAGCTTCGTGGTGTACGCATCGAAGCCGAAGGAATTTCTAATGTTCTCAGAGAAGCAGCCGCAGCCGCCTCTGATGATCCTAGGATGGGTTACGTCACTGTTACTATCATCGCTACCCACCTTGGTTTTGGAGGGGGTGGCAATGAGCAACTTGTCACCTTCATTGCTCGTGGTGGCGATAAGAAGCGTCAGATGCAGCGGAGGAAGAGTGGAGTTCTTCCTGACGTTCTTCCACTTTCACAAGACTCTGTTGTATCGTCTTCTTCATTTCCTCTGGAAATCATGGCGAAAATCAAAGAGGCGTCGTCAAAAGAGCTCGCTAGTTATATGCGCCCTTCTCATATCATCCCTATTGCGTATATTCCCCTTAATCCCAGTGGCAAGACCGATGGGAAACTCCTACGTTCTCTTTTCTCATCGACGGACGTCTCTACTTTGCTGAGGTTCCAGCGCGGGGAGGAGGGTATGCGCATCATTTCCGATGGTACGAATGGGGATGAAGGAGATGGAGATGAGGATGCCGAAGAGCGTTTCAAGAGCCAAACATACGGAGATCTTTCTAACATATTGAGAGAGATTTTGCCTGCCCAGAGTGTAACATTGAAATCCAATCTCTTCGAAGCGGGTCTTGATTCTTTTGGGTTCGGAGCACTTTCTCGACTCATAAAGAAGAAGCTACTTCCACCTGGGTGCAAACCTATCCGTGTAGCCGAACTCATGTCCTTTTCTGATCTACGTCAGCTCGTTTCTGCTATCGACGAGACCCGGCGAGCACCGTCGAAGTCTCCCAGCGCCGCCAACCCACAACCCAACCCTTATTCGAATGAGCCGGAAGGCGAAAAAGAATCATTGATTACCGCTTTCGATGAGAAATGGAGAGCAAGTGCAGAAGGGATCTTCAATCCAGGGGATATTGAATGTGTTTTGCCTCCTTTACCTGTTCAGGAAGGCGTCTTGTTTCGGACACTACAGCAGCCCGGACACTATGTTCAGCATTTTAGCTATCGTTGCAGTGACGTTATCGATATAAGACGCGTGGAGGACGCGTGGAAACGTTTAGTGGAGCAGACCCAGATATTGAGGTGAGAGACAGGTGTCCTTCGGGGAAAATGCATACATATTGACGATTTTTTGGTTATACAAGGTCTTGCTTTGTTGTTGGGGATACATTGTTGCAAGTCGTTCTTACGCCGCAAGCAGCTACTCTACCCTTCAGCGAACATGAGGTTTCTTCTATGACTGTTGACGAGTTCATCGAGTGGTTCCGCGTCAACGCTGCTCAGAAAATTGCGGAAGATATTACGGACGACGTGACGGTCCCACTGTTCCGCGTCAACCTGTATACCTCCGAGGAAGCCAAATATATGGTCCTCTCTATTAATCATGTGGCGTACGATGGTATCTCGATCCCTGTGATGCTTCGTAACCTTGCATGCCATTATGAAGGACTTCAAGTCGAGCATCCTTCTCCAACCCTTCAGTCAGTTCTTGAAGAGTTACCTTTTTTAGACTCGGATGGGGCGCGGAGATTCTGGACGTCTCAACTAGACAGTATCAAGGCCCATTATCATGCACGACATCTTAGCCCGCCGAAACCTCCGATGAGAGAACACTTGTTATCCGATTTGTCTTACAGTAATATTACTCAGCGTTGTCGCTCCCTCGGGATTTCCTTCCAGGCCCTCTGCACTGCAGCGTATGGGATAGTTCATCGCAATACTTTTCACCTTGGGGAGGACCAATCGCTGTTTGGTGTAAGCATTCTAATTCAAACTTTCACTAGAGCTATTCTGATGATTGGTTTAAGGTTGTTCGATCTGGAAGATCTTTAGCTGTCGACAATATTAACTTCGCGATTTGTCCTCTTGTGTGTGTGGTACCGACCCTGGTAGATTTTGGGGTTACAGATACAACGCAGCTACTTCGGAACGTGCAAAGGTTTATATCTGAAACCACATCATATGAACACATGTCTGTCGGGAGAATTAGAAGATGGATCGGTGGTTCATCGTTACCCATAGATTCACTCTTCTCGTGCAGGTTCAAGTTCAGGAGCGAACCGGTGTGCAGTGACGCGTTTCAACACATCAATACTGAACATCCCCTGGCGGAGGTAGGTATAGCAGGAGCCTTTCGAGAAGTGGAGACTGACACAGGTTTTTGTTAGTTTATACTCTCCATCGAGATATTGGTAGATGCAGACGCTGACACGCTTGATATTCGAGCCGCCTTTACGGAGCCAGAGCTAAGTTTGGAGGGCGTGCGAACCTTCTTACAAGCCTTGGAGAAGACAGTTGAGGATTTGATATCGAGTCCTCCTCCTGGGATCGTGGAGCTCGTGCCTTCTGGCCATGGGAGCCTTGCGCCTACTCCAGCATCCGAACCGGAGGGATCGTCAGCAGAGCACGCGATCCCTAGCGCAGAGTTGGAGGAAACTGTTGCTGGGCATGTCTGCCAACTGCTGAGGGTACAGAAAAAGATTGTTAGACCGACGACTTCCTTGATTTCGATCGGTTTGGATTCTTTGCGCTCCGTTGCACTGTCACGCATGCTCAGCGAGGATGGAATTGACGTAAGCGCAGTCGACATCGTTCAAGCTGATTCCATACGGAAGCTCCTCCAACGCCAGTCACTCGCCAAGCGCAGCCATGAACCGTCACTTGAATCTTTTGCGGAGATCCGCCGTATCCGACAGGAACTCGAAAATGCGCTCAAAGATCAAGACCTCAAACTTTCTCCAGAAGATGAGACTCTAATTATACCTGCTACTTCTTTGCAGGCTGGAATGTTGTCACAGGTACTCCAAATTTCCTCAGTGAACTTCCGAGGTGGTACTGAGTATTTTCGTAGACATTGGCTTCCAAGGGAGAGCTCTACGTGCACGGATTTACATTCCGACTGGACTCCTGTGAGATTGACGCCGTCCGCAAATCATGGACACGTGCAATACGCCGATTCGACATCCTGCGAACCTCGTTTCATTTTGCGCCAGTATCCGGCCGATGGGCTCAGGTAATTCATACAGACGCTGATGTGAGGTGGTCCACCAAACACTATAGCGACAGTGCAAACTTTGTCGAGGACCTCACGCGTTCTTTGTCATTCAAGGATCCCATAGACTTTTCTCGGAGCCCGTTGCATCTTCGCCTCGCAGTCCTACACGAAGAGAACTATTTAGTGGTAGTCCTTCATCATGTGCTGTATGATGCTGTGTCACTCCCAAAGCTCTTTTCTTTTGTGAGACAGGACCTTATGGGAGCAAGCACTTCCGCAATCCCTCCTCAACTGCAGGATATAATTGACGATGTCCTAGTTCAAGAAACAGATGGCGCTAATTTTTGGGCAGACAGCTTGAAAGGATTCCATCCGCCTCACATCTCGAGAGATAGATCAGTTTCTTCAGACGCATGGCGATCCTCCCTGACTTTAGACCTGGACTCGGCAGTCATCGATCGAACTTGCCGAAGATATCAAATTTCATCTCAGAGCATTATGCAGTTAGCATGGGCAAAAGTATTGGCCAACAGGTACCAAAATGTGGATGTGGTGTTTGGACAAGTAGTATCGGGAAGAGCGCTGCCCAAAGCTATGGATGTCGTGGCACCGTTATTCGTGAGTGCATGTGAAGCAGTCGGTCAGTCCTTGAGTTAATCTTTTTCCAGAATACAGTTCCTATGCGAGTTAAGTTCTACAAGGGGAGAACAAATAAAGATATGGTTAGGACCGTCCACCAGTTTAATATAGCAGCTATCCCCTGGCAACATGCCTCATTACGCACAGTGCAAAAACGAATTGGGGTGTCAAACATATGCGATACTCTGTTCCTCTTCCAACCTAACGTGACAGAGGAGGATGACAGGGGGACCCGCCCCCTGGAGCTTGCCCACAAAGAAGCCGGAGAGGTGTCGAAGACCCAGGTACGTCATGCCCCCTCTTCGGAAATCTCGTCAGTTTAGACGTCAAGTAGTATGCCCTAAACGTAGAAGTCTCGCCTTTATTTCGAGGCTACAACATCAGCGCCTCGTGCTCTTCGCAAGTCATGGATCTTGATGCTTTGAAGAGGACTCTCAAGGAATTCAGCGGCGCGATCTTCGACATTGTCAATCGTCCCAATGAAAGTGCTCTGCCTCTGTCCTTCTCTTTCAATGAGCGAGGTTCAGAACACGCAATTCCAGATCATCCCATCACTGATGGGGAACCTGAGGAGTGGTGGACGGAGGAACGGCTCCTACTTCGTGATGTCGTATCGAAATTCGCCAGCGTACCCCTGAGAGTATTCTGGCGAAAACCGATCTAGTATCCATCGGAATTGATTCAATTTCTGCTATCCAAATCTCTTCCGCCGCAAAGAGGGTTGGGCTTGGAATATCTTCATCTGACGTCGCATCGAGTACCGCATTCGGTGACCTTAGTTTCCGCCTAAAGTCTCATCCTGGTACATTCGACACCCACGGGCGTGAGCCTCGTCAATCGTGTGATCTTCGTCCTCTTGTGGATCCTGACATTTATCAGAAAGCTGATAGCATCTTGCCAGCTTCTGCGGGTATGGAGTGGCTAATAGCTAGCTGGCAGCGGAGTGAAGGAAGGCTTTTCCATCATGCCTTTGTCTTCGAATTTGAGGGGAAGATGAACCCCGGCAAAGTGCGATCCGCATGGAATACTCTTGCCCAGCATCATCACATTCTTCGCTCCACTTTCGTTCCCTCCCATGTCAAAGGATCTACTTCCTACTACCCCGTCATTGTTTCATACAAGCACCAGGATCCTGAATGGCTTGAGCAATCACTAGAGGCAAATGCGGCTGATGAATTATCCGCGCTTAAGCAGCTATTATCGAATGCGATGATTTCATTGCCTTCTATCGCGAAAGTCCCTACCCGCCTAACATACGTACATGGAACCCTCCAAGATTATTTTATTATCAACTTGCATCATTTCGCATATGGTTTGCTACATTCCTTTCCACCAAAATAGGGCTGACGTGATCGGATTTCAATTAGATGCCTGGAGTCTGCGCCTGATTATGAATGACTTCCGAATGATATTAAATGATCAATCCCCACAGTTTGGCAACAACTTATCTGGTTTCCTCTTTCGTTCCGAACAGTCTGAAACTCGCTCGGAGATACAGCGAAGGTATTGGCAGGGCTTGTTCCGAAATAGGGTTAGCGGGAAATTGTTTCCACACCTCAATCGACCTTCATGCGACGAATCATCAAATGACAATGGTCAAATCATGCTACGCTGCTTCGTTTTCGAAGATGTAATACACTCCCTTGAATCGAAGGAGCGTCGGGCGCAAGAACTGGGGCTACCTTTGCATCTGCTATTGCTCGCAAGTTGGGGTATAGTTCAGCAACGTTATTCCACGTCCCGAAACGCCGAAACGGCAGATGGGGACGTTGTATTTGGTCTGTGGCACTCTGGAAGATTAGAGGAGTCGGAACCCCCTTCAGGATTGGACATACCTAATCTCGCAGTCCCAACTGTCAATATCCTTCCGGTTAGAGTAGAATACCACAAGGACTCGGAGAATTTGGTGGCGGCAGCTGCCAAGAACCTTCGGTTGCAGCTTCAGCAACGATCTTCCGTTATCGAGCAGAGCCGCTGGGTCGATGTTGTCAGGTGGATCGCAGAGACCCAGGATGCATCTCATCCACGATTGTGCAACGTCTTTGTCAACCTATTGAAACCCCCACATCGGCTCGAGCATCCATTATCGTATAGTTTTCCATCCAGTGGTTCTTATGTCTCCTTCAAAGCTATCAAGGTCTGCTTGCATTGCCTTTTGTACTTGATGTACTTATTCACTGGTTTGCAGTTCCCGTACTCGCCCTCATCGAGGGTGAAGATTGAATCATCTCTGCTCCGTCCACGATATGACATCACGGAAGTTGTCCAGGTATGCAGGCAACAGCCCGATCTCCAGTCGATCCACTAAGAAGGATCTATCAGCCCGACCTTTTAGTTGACATTTTCCTCAATCCGGCCAACGACACTATTGGGATATCGTTCGAATGCGAGCACACCCTGGTTGGCGAAGACCACGCTAAAGATTTTGTTGCAGATTGGGCTACAATGCTGGACAGTGCGTTGCGATGAAAGGACATTAGACTTTCTAGAATATTATTATTATCAGCTATCACATTATAGAAGTACCCCCGTGCGAATCCTTAGAATGAAAAGCCCACTACCAACTGCTAACTTTGCCGTCACGCAATCCCACCCTTCTATGAGCCTGCCAAAAGTGGCGAACGCTCATCCTCAGTATCATGATCATTGGGTGCAGTGCCGACAGGGGTTAAATCTTCATCCAGTGAGGGAGGGCGACCAAAATCGTCGATACCTAGGCGCGCTTGGCGTTGCTTCCAGATGAGACACATAGTCAAAAGGATCGATTGGAGACATCCTGCAGCTGCGTATGTCAGCCAACCTAACAGGCAGGGTCAGCCCTAATGTGTTTGACAAGAAACTGGACTCAACTTGTCCAGTTGGTTCCTGGCCTTGAACGATCGTCAGAACCACGAAAAGCGCCAAGGATATCGTTATGTAATTCATACCTTATGGCAATACTCAAGCACATCACTGCAGCTCCCGGACTTTGAATGCACATCGTCACAATGCTGAGACTCCCCACAAGCTTCAAGCGCCACGTCTTGTAAATCTGAGGGATGAACTGGAATGCGGAACATAGTGCTGATGAGAGTCCAAGAAAAGTGGTCCAGATCATGAAGGTTGAAGATTCTGAGTTCTTAACAAGCAACGCCGTTACAACGGCGCACAGAGTGCTGTCAATCTCTCTTGTTAGGACTGCACCAGTGCCAGGACAGGAGAGAGGGGGGTGGCTCACACGTGGAACGCAACAATGCAGAAGAGGGTGACTGCAAGTTTCCATTCCGCAGTCGTGGAACGATAAGGCTTGGTGCTCTGACCCAGGAAAGGTTCGCTTTCGGGTTGGATTTCAGCGTACTTGAGATGAGGAGGATAAAAGACCAAAAACAAGACCAGCCTGGGAAGATTGCGTTTGAAAACGAGAAGATTGTGTCGTCATGAATCCCGCTTACGTGGTTGTGAAGAGACACCATTGGATAACTACCTGGAAGACGCCTCCAAGATTCTCTAGGCACAAGCCCGCGCTCTAGTGTCCCAGATCAGGACATTATATGATCTCCGGGTCAAGTCAAGGCTACATACCACCTGATGACAGCACTTAATTACAGGCCACTGAAGCGCAACACTATAGGTTCATTTAAGGAATGCCGGTGCACGCGCGTTTGCATTATCAAGAAAAGTCACACCGACACGTTCAGCATGCCTGCCGCACAGGATGTGCTCCCAAGAAGCAGAAACCATGGACTCAGGCCCTCTGATGAGCGTTTCGTCACTATTCGAAAATGCTAGGAGTAATAGTTGACTCTGGACCGGAATTGAGCACCGACGGACGAACTAACTTGTGGCAGGTAGGACACGATGATCCCAATAGTCACACCAACGGTAAGTACAAGAGCTAAGGGGTCATGGGTCTGCCACGAGACATTCAAAGATGTGAATAGAGCCCAGGTTCCGCAGATATGCTTCTTACTGATGGACAGATGGTTGTACCCATCTCGTGGTTGTCAAAGTGAAGTGTCGAGGCGTGACATCAGCACATGATACGATGGAATCTCCTGCAGCGCTTATTTTGGCTCATGCAGCTGCTGCGCATGGCAACGCAGATGGAGAAGGATTTGCCGAGGCTCTGATCCTGGGTTCGAAGGAGGATGGGTTTTATCAACTCCAAGATGATCTAGTCATTGTAAGCCAGCCCACTGCTATGTCCTACTTACCACCTGAACTTGTCCAGGGTCAAGTTGACTTTCGTGCCCTGGTGGTGCGGTACTTCCCTGGGAGAGAGGACAAGTCGATTGTGGACCTTTTCGTGGGCTTATTTGACTACGTAGCTGCTTTCGATTCAGAAGAATGGGAGGGGGAAGATGCCACAGAAAGGCCCGCTGGGAGCAAAGAATTGAAAAACTACTACAATCTATTGAGCGTCTACAGGTGAGTCGGAGAAATTGTGTCTTCCTTCTTCCACCCAACTGTAGAATTAGCACTGCAGGCAGAATCTTTCAACAGAAACTCTCGGGGTGGTTTGTGTCTTCGATCCGCAAACTAACTGACCAGCTTGTTCGCCAGGCTAATGTCGTAAGCCGTTGTCTCCTGGGCATAAATGAGTTTTTTGAGACGTTACAACGATGTAGGCTGATCAAGCTTCAGGTATTGGAAGGGTAAATCGAAACAAATGTGCCGAAGCTGCCACCCGTGTGATGATTCCCGTATTCGGCCTTGCGGCTGCAGATAGGTGCGTTCTAGCGAGCTTTATGACTGGTTTCGAGGCTCAGCAAGGGCCAGAGGGACTGATACCCCAGATAAACGGGACATCACATTCTTCCTGGCGAATATTTTGTTCAAGCTTTATTATGAAGTAAGTGACGATGCCTAGTGGTTAGATACAAACTCAGAGGTTTCCCAAGCTGGATAACGTTAGGCTTTGTGATACCATTTTAAAAAATCTGGAGAAGCAGTTGCAGCGGATCGAAGCGTTCCCGATGGCTGACCAGACAATGTTCCACTTTTGGCATGGGAGGATATATTTAACTCAACAGAGAGTACGACAGGTAGGCTCGTTTAATTCAACAATTATATGGGGCTCCTAATCATTCGAATTTGAATGCAGGCGTACGAGGAACTCTCTAAAGCGTTTACCATGTGCACTAATAACTCCTTCAAGAACAAACAGTGAGTTCTGTGACCTCTATTATCATGCGAGAATATGATGTCTGAGACCAGAATAATTTTCACCTACCTTGTCGCCACTGCAATTCCTATCGGAATATTTCCTTCAACTTCATTGCTGGAGCACTTTGGATTGACATCACGATATGGGCCATTGATAGACTCCATCAAAAGGGGCACATTCACACATTCCATCTTGCGCTCGGGGTGGGCGTGGGTGCTGATCCTCGGGTCAGGAAATGGTTTGCCAGACGTGGTGTCTGGATGCTGCTCCGTGAGAAGGGAGAAGTTCTTGTTTGGCGCAGCCTGATTCGTCGAGTGTATACAACCCCCATCTCCAGTCTGAGTGGTATTTTCCTGATAGTTTTTATACAGGGCTCTTTTTCAGCGAGAACAAAACCCATCCGCGTTTGTTGCTGGCAGCAAGGGGCCACCGCCAACCCTTCAACTTCTTGCCATCCAATCGGCTCTTCAATTTTCATCGCACGACGTGTCATATACATTGAACGATGCAGAGAGTTTATGCTGCAGCCTTCTAGACCAGGTATGAACAACTGAGTGCCTGCACCGACTTGGCTCTGCTCAATCCTTGTTGATAGGGCTATGTGAAAGGATATATATTGCATTCGCGACAACTTCTGGCCCTTCAGAAGGCCGAGAATCTAGGGTTCCCCCCTCCTTGCACGATCGTTGTGGATTCAGGGCTACTTGATGGAGCTGTAGATTACACCAATGACTGAATTAATTGGGGTGGTCGTTTATCTGATTGGTCATATCATCCATTTCGGTGTCTGAAACCTGGGGTGATGGTGCTGGAGTGTTGTCCCGAGTGACCATTGCGCTGCTCACATCTCCACGCTGCGATACCGCAATATCGGGGGCTTGGTCCCACGATGACAAGTGCTTCGTATTGAAAATAGCCGGTTTTTCCTCCGCATTCGCACTCTCCGTTGTGAGTTCTGGTGTCCATGAGGACAGACTATCAATTCCTTCCAGGTCTCCGCTAGCCCAAAACTCTTCTTCTGGCATTCTCGGCACGTCCCACCAAACGTTCTGATTCCGCCCATATAATCGTGATCTGAGCGCGGCATTATCATCCTTCACAGTTCTCTGCAGAGGCTGGTAAAATCCCTATGGACCAACCGGAAGTTGCCTGCAACCCACCAGATGATGGTCGGACCAATATGGCGCAACTGGTCCCTCAGAGTCGGGAAACGGTGCAGGCACTGGGTCATCTCTACTGTAGATGAGCATATATGGCCCTGAGTTGAGATAGAGCCCCGCCTTGTCTCCGATGACAGTGTCTTCCGTGACCTTACGGCTATACATCAGCTCTGGTAGCAGGGCATGACGTTCGGGCACGCACCATAGTTACTTCGTCCCAGACACTCTTGTACCAGTTACCATTAGTGAATAGGTAAGCGTACATGTTCTTGGGTCCGTAGAGACCATCATGCATCAAGACAGCTCTTAACTTATACTGTGGATGGAGATGATTAGTTATGTCGAAAATGGTGGCAGGCAGTATGACGTACTGGGTGTCTGGCAGGTTCTGAAGCAAAGCTGATTGCCAGTGCTTCGTACTCTGCAGAATTGACCCCGATTTTAGATTTGGTAGCTGAAGCCTAGTAAGCGAATTATAACCTGAGTCCCGCAACACAAGACACACAGTTGATATGCCGTTCGATCTTGGCAATAAGTGTGCTAAGTTTCCTAGCTGCCACCTGATGAGCCTCCTTTCGTTCTGGTGTATCCGCCGACGCCACCTCCTGAATGTAGCGCAAGGTGTTCCGGAGTGGAGGAAGCGTTTCCTTTCCCTTTACGTAATTGGGCAGATGCATCGCGGTGGATCTTCCATGGAGATAACACTCACGTTTCGAGTTTCCAAAGTCCGCAGCTGTTCCCTGAGATCTTCGCCTGCCATTTTGAGTTCCTTCATTTGATTGACAGAAGCCATTGTCTTTGCACTATTTTCTTCTAAGTACCGATCTAATTGCAACAATGTAGGGAAGGAGAAAGGAATTTTGGGAGCTGTTGAGGAGTTCACGTTCTTCAATTTTTCCGATGCGGCAGACAGTGTCATTTCTGTCGTAGTGAATGGTGTCTTAACAGTAGGTGCACTGCCATGCGCAAGGTTGACATCTTTGTGCTCGCGGGGATCGTGATGAAGTCGCATGACAAGCACTGGAGGAGGGGACCATTTGGGACTTATGAACCCCCTTCCAGAAGACTTACTGCCGGAGACTTGGCCTCGAAAATCGGGGTTCAAGGAAGAATTTAATTAAGGGTTTGATTGCTTACCGTCACCAGAACTCAAGCCGAAGAAGTATTGATCCAAACATGCATAGACGGAATTCAGGTCTGGCTGGCGAACTGTGAGGGACAAGTAGGAGTGAGATGACGATGTCAGGGGAGATGTGGATCGTGATTCAAGGTTTAAGGTGAATAAACTATGTGCCAATAGGTTGGTGTGGATCCCCGGAAATTAAGAGCATCAAGAGTCATGCGTACCGATCATACGGAATGTTTTGAGCGGCGCACCACAACTCCAGAGCATTGTCAATCACCTGGCTCATTGGGGTGAAGAGTTCTAGGAACGGAACAGGACATTAGTCCGAGAAGAACATCGACCCAGTGAAGAGCATTGTCACCTAGACTTTGAGTACCAGGTGGTTTAGGATGGGAAGATTCTTCTGCACCGAATATGTGCAGGAAGTGGGTGATATCAAGATGCGCCTGTTGAGTGTAGTCAAGAGCACAAAACAATTGCTGAATTTCTCTGAAGTCTTGGGTCCAGTCAAGCGCATGTAATCCATTCAAGATGATGCCCTCGTACTGTAGAAAGATTGAAGTGCCGAGTCACCCCATAATTTACCGTCGTTTAGCAGTCCCATGGGGCCCTCGTGCAGTCCGTCCGGCATAATGTTGAGAGAAGAGGGATCCCACTTCCCTGACTGACGGAGACTGCGCCTCACTTGAGGTATGACGTACAGGGCTTGTATCATTAGCGGAAGAGCATTATGCGTAGAATACCGGGCAGATCCTCGAATCAACGCAACTGGAGGTACCAAAGGATTGTCCGAAAGGGGAATGTCGAGCTTGATGTCGTGACAACTAAATATCAAGCCGAGTGAAGAGCGAAGCTCGGTTACTCCGGTAACACATTAGGTGAGACTCTCAGACCTTTCCTTCGTAATTCTGGTCCGTTCGGTAACATCAGCACACTCACCGAAACTAGTTTGCAGGGACGCTGCCATGGCACGTTGTAGATCAGCATCATCTAGAGAAGGACGTTTGTTGTCATTTAAGGAGCTCGGCACAACAGCCCAAGAACCGTCCGTGTCCTCTCTAGTTGAGGGCCGAACTTCGCCGTCTGCGCCTGGCTTGACGGCACTCCCCACTCTTTATGCTTGTGTTCGATTGAATCGACATGGAAAGTGACAGGGCCTTCTTCAGTTCTTCATCCTCTTCGTCCTCCCCAGTAAGATCAACGACAACTAGGATGTATGTGCTGCGTGAACTTCGGTGGGTTAAATCTTGCATTAACTTGAATGTTCTTACTAGAAGGTGGCGGCGCTACACTTTTGCTAGTCTGGGACTTACTGGAATCCGAGACGAGTGGTTCTAAAGCTGGCATATCGTTGACCTATGATATATGGCAGTACACGAGTATAAGAACGGTCGAGTTTGACGCGAGTCGTTGTTTGCGACTCGGTCTAGCTACGCGGCACGCACATCCTCAGACTCCGTCATAAGTGCTGATGCAGCTCGGTCCAAATCCCCATTATACTGCCTAAGGGCATCTGTCCATGACGAGTAGGGTGGACACCACGTACAGGAGGTCAGAAAGACGACTTACTTCGTATCGCCGCCTCACTGTGGCTGATTCCTAGTGATATGATGGTCTGGACGGCTTCATTCTCATCGTAAGCTTTCATCTTCCCTCAGAACCTTTCAGCGTCGATAGTCAAGTCAGTCAAAAGATGCTTAATCTAGCGAAAACTGAAGTTGCAAGTCTGATATCCCCACGTGACAATAGGACAAAATATTCATTGCTCCATTCAAGTGTCAACCGTGAACACTTGCATGATGGGAGGTGGACAGGAAGCGATCTTTCACATTCTTCAGGCGGGAGAAAGGATTCTCACCATTCCACAGCTCAATTTTCGACCCATCGGATGAAGTTCGAGAGGTCAGGAGGGGTAATCCGTACTGTTCAATCGTGTAGCTTGCCGACACCGTTGCATAGAAGGAGGCTAAAGAAAACTGCCATTATTGATAGAAGGTGATTAATGAAGCTTCGGCCCTCACCTTCCAAAAGATCCCCATTGCAGAAAGAGAGTCCGGCAGCGAGACCACCGAGAAACGCGTTACCAGCCCCAGTAACGTCGTTGATGCGCTGGCCATCCTCGGCACCAAAATATGCCTCTACCCAATGCCCAGATTGGCCATGCTCAGGAATAACATACGCCCCTAATGCGCCACTGCGGACGATAACCGCCTTTGCCCCAAACCAAGAAGCGCTTGTGCGGCCTGTTCAATGGTTTCCCGTCGAGGCAGTTGGTGCATTGACAGAATGCTGAGGGCTTCCTCTGCGTTGGGACTTGTAATGCGTCCGATAAATATCAGCTCACAAGCCGAAGATTCGGCGTTCACCTGAGAACATCAATACGTTCAACCACAAGTTTTAGTGCCGAGAGTTCTTCAGGGATGCATCTATCCTATGCATGTGACTCAGGAAGGAGTGGCGGGAAGCAATCATAGCTTAATACTCACAGGTATTGGCTCGTATATAATAAATGGGAACCACGATGGCACTGCGTCGATCTCCCTCAGTATTTCGGAAGCTCTTTGAGGCGAACATATGAAATGTAGGTAAGAAGGGAACTGAAGTCCTGTAGACGTGAGGTCGTTTGGAGAAATCTGCAATCCTGGGGTTAAATACTCGAATCTTCAAGTTCGTGTGCCCAGCTGAGATGAAGGGGTTAGATATAGAGGACGCAATGTACCGTCGATGGTTTCCGCAGTAAATATTTGCCGCCAGCGTAGTTCTCCGCGTGGGGTTGTCGCGAAATAACCATATATCTTCACCATAATTATCTAATTCTCGTTGCACATCGGAAGGGAAATCATGGCCTCTATCAACTATCATGCCAATCTTGGGCGGCGGCAGCCTGCAGAACACCATTGAACACGTTGAATTTATGCAGATGTTAGATGTGATAACCAGATCCTTGCGCCGACTACGCCTATCAGATGAGTTTAGAGTGCATCAGTGGAAGCAACCGGAAAGCTAACAATAAGTGCCCCCGCCGCCAATCTTGGTCCGTAGCATTATCAGGACTCCGACTCATTTTATTCCACTGGACGCACTTGGTTATCGGTTTGGGATTGATCTATATCATTGCCCTCATTGTCGACGTATCGAAAGATGTCGATGATAAACATTCCAAGTGTTACAAACTCCTTGTAAGAGTCTTCCATCGCAAAGATGTGATTCAGAGCTAAGCTAGATGGTTGTGGATTTCTTGCCCCGGTCAGTGTCGAGTGAGACAACAAGATTCTGAATCAGCACACAGGTTCACGTGGCAAGGTGTTGGATCCCCTGACATTTTCGGAGTCTTCCAAGGCAATTGTAAGATGTGCCTCCTCTAGTTACGCTTGGACGGATCACAATCCGTGTCCGATTTGCAAGTGCGGGTCTTCGATATGCCAGAAGAATCAAGACAGCCCGACTCGCTCTCTGACTCCATGCGGTACGTGTTCTGGTCTAAATCTCACCACAATTCGTCACTCATAACTACACGCAGGGAGATTAAAGGGTCAAGCATCGAGTTCAAGGGGACTCTCAGCGGACCTCTGAAACCATGGACGGAAGTGGAGTTCCAAAGACAGAAGTGAGTAATAGCTCGACCCATCAAAGTTAGATAACTTAAATTTGTGGTGTCGGAACTCAGTCTTAGACGACATATCGTTCAGGCTTTGTTTAAATACCCTTCTGCGCCGCAGGCAGACAGACTCGAGAATATGTTGTGGCTGGAGACGTCGCATGCAGTCATCGTACAGTATCGCGCGTTGCTGAAAGCGATGGACGACAAGCTGGCGGAGGTTCATCAGTCTGACACTCCCCAACCAAAGAAGCGACAGTTCAAGCGTGGGGAAGATGGGCCAGTCGCGCGCCGGAAACTCATTACCCGGTTTCGATCGTTTCTGTCTGAAGAAGAAGTGTTCTGGGGTGAACTTGTGATTCGCGCAGCTACAACGTTCGATCTGACCCAAGCCTCGGGTCCCATTGCGGCGCTGTCACTGTCTCATTTGGAACCGGCTGAACTTGCGTCGAGGAAGGAGGACGTGGTGCGAGGGTCCATTTCTCGCGTCGACTCCCCCGTCTCGGAACCTATCACTACCATCACAAAGCACAAAAAATTATTATTTATTCAAAAATGTCTCATCTCCCTCGGCGACCTCTCCAGATACAGGGAACAATCCAGCGAGAGACCCAGGGCTGGAATGGAGGGGGGAGGCCCAGCACGATCGGGCGGCCGACGACGTGCAAACATTGTTTCCTTTCGATTGAGGGATTATTCACGGGCGTTTGAGTGCTATAAGCAGGCCAAACTTCTTGCTCCGAGCGAAGGCAATCCCTCAAATCAGCTCGCGATTCTCGCCCTCTATGGTGGTGATACTTTCAGTGCCTTAATGCACTACTACCATGCTTTGTGTGCTCGGAATCCTTTCGTTACATCGCGGGAGAACTTGAAGCAATGTCTAGAAAAGGCTTTGCAGGCTTATCGAAAGGATAGGGATGATGCGGACAAGCAAAATGATTATGTGTTAGCCTTTCAGCGTGATGTGGTTGCGCTGCACGGGCTTTGGCACTTAAAACCGTTGTTTGTACTTATCACACATTCAGTCGTATCCATGACTAATGATTGATTTCTAGTAATCCAAAGGTCATCGAGCAAGGCAAATTAGTTGTGACGTCATTCTCTAAACTCCTTGAATCCCGCAGTTTGGCTCCAGATGTCGTGATACGAGTCGTGACGCTTGCCTTGGGTGCTTTGTGGATTTTTCAAGTTTTCAAACCCAGTTCTCAGGAACCTCAAGCCATTTCAACTGAACATCAGATCACCGCTCACATCTCATCTCTCTTCAAAACTGTTTTCAAAATCGCATATAGGGAGTTGAAGGAGGCTTCTTCCGCGATTCTCAACACCCAATTAGCGCAGTCTATTTCTGCTACTTTACGGCGTACTCTTCCGTGTCTCCATGTTATATCTCGCTGGATAAAAATCAATACGGACGTCATCCATCCATGTGGTACGAAGAACCCCCAGATGGTCTCTTCCAGCCACTGCTACTATCAGTTTCCCATTCCCTTCTGGTCGAGCTATGCCACATTTCTCAACCGCTTGCTTGGTGTATTTCCTCTCAAGTCCCTTCCCGTCGCTACTGTGCGATTTGAGGAGGATGAAGACCTTAGAGGGTTCCGCCCTTTGGAGGGGACGTCAGTGAATGATCCTGCTCCATCATCACCTTATGCTAGCCCGTCCACGGTTCATCCCAACGATGAACACCTGATGAGGATTCGAGATGTCATTTCCAGCGGCCTTGAAATTGCAAACCAAGAGGTGAGTCTGAAATTGTTCTCGCAGTGCTCCCTGACTGAAACTTGACCCAGGTTAGCGTTCTTAACTTCGTCGGCGGGAAATTTGTGGCACAAGAAGTGTCAGGTTCTCCAGACTCTACGGAAAACATTCCACTTCCTTCGGCTCTCGGAGAGGGACGAGATTTCCCTGCGTTATATGAGGGAGACTCGGAGGACGAAATTGGAACGGTTAGCACAGAGGATCCTGTGGGATTGGCAATGAAGGCTACCTTGATGGAGGATGAGAGTGATGATGAACAAGTCCTATATCCTCGGCTCAACAGCGGAGTCCCTCCGTGAGTCCCTTGATATGACTCTAAACTAGCTTCTCTCAACTCGCTCCTAGTTCGGGCGGAACGGCTATGTGGACAGTCTCAGCTTTCCCACCCCCACTGTCCACTGCACCTAGAAGCCCGAAAGCCGCGTCAACCACGGCGGAAGATTTGCTCAGCCGAGTCCTCAATCAGAATGTGGCACCATCTCCACTACAGCGCGCCTCAGCCACACTCGATAGTGGGATGAACCTGGGTTCCTCTGGATATTCTGGCCTAGTCGCGTCATCTCCGCACTCACCGTCCCAAGCACCCGCCTCTTCTAGAGCCCGTTATATCGGCGGAGCACCCAGCCCTAGTCTCATTCACCGAGATGTTTCACCCGTGTCCCGTAGTCTCCTACGCTACTCGGGGTCGTTCCGGCCCCCCGCCGACGATTCCAGGCCGTTGGACCACTTTGACACACACACACGCAAGGATATAGGCGTACCTCTCTCGAGTTCCCAGTCGTTGTCTCCTGACATCTTCCTTAGCCGTTATTCTACTTCTACTAGAGAGATGCATGCATTCGGCCCTATTGGTAGTCCCCGCCTCAGGAGTAACGCCGGCCAAAGTTCACATTCATCTAGCCAAATAATGCCGAACAATCCGGCATTCGGGATGTCGCAATTCGTGAATGGACATCAGATTCATTCAAGTTTGAACTCATCTCTCCCTGCTCCAGCACCTATCTACCCGTGGACATAAGTGGTTAATCCTCAAAGTCTCTATCTGCTGCTACGCAGCTCGCAGCGCCTAGATCGCCAACACATGGGGTCTTTTGTTGTCATTTCACCCACGGCGGGCCAGCTCTATACTGTCCCAATATAGGTGTTTCGCGTAAATGCTGGAAGTGTCTGCGCAAGTGCAGCACAGTGGGGCTCATTGTTCTCGTGTAGATGAGTGGTTTAGCCACATGTACATGAACGTGAAATAAAATTTCACACCTCCCGGAATGTTCTTAAACAAGCCGTAAATGTAACTGGCATATAACATCTAAGACGAGGATCATTTATCATTCACGTTTCATTCCCTCACGTTCAACTTGTGCGGCCAGAGCGCGTCCTGCCCTGCTTTCATTCCTCCGGCCCAGGAGATTTGAGATCCACTCCCCTGTCTGCACAAGCATGGCCAAATCGACACCTGTCTCATATCCTATGCCATGCAGGGTGTAAACGATGTCCTAGAGGCTTAACAGATCAGAAAGGAATAAAGCCCCAAAGGCAATGCTCACTTCAGTGGCGACATTGCCAGTGGCGCCGGGTGAGTATGGGCATCCTCCTAGCCCAGCAACTACCAAAGATGTCCGCAATCAGTGACATTACATTCTCATGCTGGTTTTCGGACCTGAACTGTCGATTGTGCGTATCCCTGCCTGTTGGTGACAACCTTTAGCATGGATGCGGGGGTGGCGCCAACATTCGTACCTCCAGAGCCGTCAGGGCATTCGCCACTCCGAGGCCAAATGTGTCATGATTCTGATACGGGTCATTCAATGCAGATGCGTTGCAAATTCAGAGGCGTACATGAGCCTTTGGAGCTCATTAGTTATATAAGAAAGGACCAGGCGAGTTCCGGACTGACTGCTAGCTTTTCAGGAGGAATGACGGACAGGACTGATTCTAACATCGATGTCATTGATGCCGGGGTACCGCGCCCAGTTGTGTCTCCAAGTGAGACCTCGTAACAACCCATGTCAATTAAGGCCTTTGAGATATCCCTGACAGTGCTCGGAGCGACAGGCCCTTCATAAGGACACACAATCACAGTGCTGATATAACCGCGAACCCGGATGCCCTTGTTCCGAGCCGCCTCTACAACAGGATAAAGACGATTAAGAGACTCAGCAATAGAACAGTTGATGTTGGCTTTGGAGAACGACTCCGAGGCAGCAACAAATATGGCTATCTCGTTTGTCAATGATGGGGACGTCTCAAGTAGATTCAACAGAGTGGCTAGGCCCTTTTCATTGGGCACGAGAACTGGGTAACTAACGCCTGGAAGAGCCTTAATACCAGCAAGCACATCTGAGGTGCCGGCCATCTAACACTGAATTGGATCACTGTGGCGATGGTGTTGGTGTTGGAAATAATACCTGGGGAACCCATTTGGGAGAGACGAAACTTCCGACTTCAATTGCCTTAAGCCCAGATTTGCCTAAGCGATCAATGAGGCTGATTTTTTCCCCAACAGATATCGGATGAGGTTCATTCTGCAGTCCATCTCGTGGTCCCACTTCCACAATCTTGACAAATTTGGCCGAAGGGGTCGAGGATGTACGCAGGAGGCGATGAATACTTGGACCAGGTGCACGCGAAAGGCTGCCGTGAATCCGGGAGCACATCATGAGGAGATATCGGCTAATTCCGCATTATTGTCGTAGTTGGGTCATATGACTCCAGTGCAAGAAATATCCCAACCTTCCGATCAGCCTCCGTGCGTGCTGACGGGTTCGCTCTCCACTTTGCTCGTGTCAGCCGTTTCATAGGTCCACTTGGTGTCCCCTGACGCGTCTAAACGAGAGCTAGACGCGTCGATGACAGATTCAGACCCAGAACCATCGCGCGTTCAGAGTCTGAGGACATATGGAAAGCGTCGACAGAGCCCCACTTTGAATCCTGAGACATACAGTGTTGGGCCTGATGAAGGATCTTTGGAAAATGATACTCCAGGCTTTCCAGTGGTTTCCGCAAGCGCAGACGAAGAGGCTTCCGACAGCACCAATTACCATTGGAAAGCAATGCTCACCCGGATAGATGCAGGGAAAGAGGATGGAAAGCTGCTGTTTCCTGTTTCGTCCTCTTCTGGCTTTACCAGGGCACTTACTCCCTTAACGGATGAGCACACAACCCCCTTGCTGCCAGATTCCGTTGAGGAAACCTTGCCTGTCATACTCAAATCCGTACCTGTTCCTTTAAGTGGGCCTGACCAGGGCTCGAACATCCTCATTAATGCTTCTATCGACCTTCCTGTTGCGCCACCTACCCACAATGACCAACCTGAGCCTTCCGACGCAGAGGTAGGATCGGGCTCGAGAGAGTGCAGGGAAGGAAAGAAAAAAAATAACCCAGTAAGTTATTGTGGGGGTTCTCCTCTGCTATAGGCTTACAGCTGTCTAAAAGCGTCTTACGAAACAAGAGAGACTCGAAATGGAGAAAGAAACTGCTCGAGTTAAAGCGGGTGGGTGAAAGATGGCCAAATGATAAATAGTGGAATGTTCACTGATGTATCCCTTTAGCCCGACGCGTGATGATGCAGGATCCGCAGACCGAGTGGAAGCCTTTGCAACGCCCGATGACTGCCTGGGAGCTCCCTTCGAACGTTGCCGCGTCCGATCCCGATGCGATTGAGCTATTCACCTCTTCGCCTTCATCCAAGTCTGAGCAGTACTCGTCCATTGCTTCGATAGAGGGATTAGTGGTTCCTCATAGACATAATGAGCTGTCATCCGTGTATAGACGGCATGCATCTTACTGCGCTCCGCGGCAAACATCACCTACACGAAGCCCTTTCCGAAAACTCCCCGACCTAAAAACCAAGCTACTTGACGCATCAGACTCAGAATCCGACAATCCTCCTTCAGTGGAGGAGGTGATAGCACAAAGTAACCGAAAATCACTGGAAAAGAAGAACGTTCAGAACGCGCGGAAACTCAAGTTGGAGGCGATGGATAAGATCAAGGCAGCACCGAAGCCTCCAGATGACGATGACGACCTTGAAATTGAACCTGCACCTGTCCTTGCAGTGCTAACAGCCAAGGGCTCAATGCCGAACGCACTAAGGAAGTCAACGTTAAGGTCGGCGCGACAATCTCTTCTATTGCACCCGTCGAGACCCTCCACGCCGCAACCAATCAAAAGACAGGAAAACCCTTTCGCTGATCTATTTGCGATGGCCCAAAGTGAATCTACCAAGTCGCGAGCAGCCAAGGAACAGGATTGGGTGGCTCGTGGTGGCCAACTTGTGGATGCGGGGAAGTTCTCGGGACGACATATCGTACAAGTGCTGGAGCAATCTACAAGAAAACTTGATTCAGTAGACTCTCTTGCGGATGGCGACAGTGAAGATGATGCTCAAGACGAGGACTTCGTGCCCGGTGAGGCTTATCAACCTCTTGAGTTGGATGCCCCAAGTGATATCGGAGGGTCTCCTGAGGCGCGGAATATCGAGCCTTCGCGGAGCAACCAATTATCAATGTCGACATCATCGTCGCATCCATCCATAGCAACAAATACTTTTGACGACACGGACATTGATGAGGCTGCATTAATTTCGTCTTCTCTTGCCACTTCTGTGTCAGATGGGGAGGGGTCGCCTGTAATCAGCCGCAAGCGACGAATAAAGCGGACTGTTGGCAGTGACGATGAAGAGGAGACCAGAGTTGTAGACCCCCAAGTTTCTGGTAGTTCAAACCGCTCCGTGGATTCTGACGCTGAGAACCAACTTCCGAGTGCAAATGGGTCCGATGTGGAAAACGCAATTCCTCCCAAGATTGGCCGGGTTTCTTCTATGTTCTCGGAGACTGAGAAGAGAGGGCCTCTACAACCCCTCGCATCCTTCCTGTCCTTTCCGGGTTCTCCCCGTGGCTCAAGACGTGCTAGCTCAAGCATTTTCTCTTCACCCTCATCCCAACCCCGACCCCAACCCCTGGCTGAACGACCCATGCAACACGAAGAGCCAGACGATCCACAATTCGGCGAAAGTGATTTTGGCTTCGGTGGCATGTCTCAACTTTTCTTAACGCAAAAACCGAGTTCTACACAACCGGTGCGCAAGCTCGTTACACTCATCTGGGTGTCCAGCCTCACCACGTTTTAGACCGAAACGAAGTTCCGTTCCAATGATCTTGACTTGGCGACCCAGCCATCCGGCTTGCTGCCTGCACTTAATATATCGAACACACAGCGAAAGCGTAACGACGAATTGCTCATGCATCAAGAAGAGGATGATTTGGTATTAGCAAGGTCCACCCACATGCAACCACGCCCGAACGAAAACAGGTGAATGCTACGTATATGGCATTGGAATGAAGGTTTCGATTAACAAATCCAACCTAGATCCTTTGACTCACTCTCATTGTCTTGGACTCAGCTATCGCCCGAGAGGATGGAGGAACTCAGTAATACTCAAAGGCTTTTGAGTGATGGACCCGGTTCATCAGCGAATTCCAAGCTCTCCCTGTCCCCAAGCACACCCACCAAACGCGGGAAAGTAGTTCGAGGCCGCGAAAATGTATCGCCTACGCCAAGCCCCGCTTCCCCGCCGCGATCATTGTACCGATCACCCTTAGCCGGGAGTGTGAAAGCCCGTGGTCCCCCACGCGATGCCTTCCAAATGTTACTGGCCCCTAAGCCCCGTACAGTTCCTGCGGTTACAAAGGAAGAAATCGACCGGTTTTATGAAGGGGAAGCAGAAGAGTCTGATGACGAGGCTCCCTTCGGGCTTCCAGTCACCACCCAGGATGAGGACGACGATGAGGCCGACGGTGAAGAAGTCGTTAAAGAACTTGTCGATGATCGCGAGATGAACGAAGAAACGGAAGCCAGACAGCTGGTTTACGAAAAACACCAGTACGCATGATACCTAGGGCTCGAGATTTGAGGCTGATGCTTTGGTACCTAAGGGAGCTTGAGAAAGTTGATGACGAGAAGAATTTGAAGATTGCGCAAAATGCGGTCGACGGAAAGTTTAGAGCTGGGACAAAACGTAGACGACGTGGTATTGATGGTGCAGGCAGCGATAGTGATGGCAGCGACGACGAAGTGGTCCGCCGTGCGAAGCCACCCAAGAGGAGGAATATCGCCGGTGATACTTTACCTGACTTAGGTGACGTGAACCGACAAAACTGCGGTTGAAGAGTGACGTTGACTAAGATGTTTCAATTAGCCAAGGATCCAGCCACGCTTCCATTCTTTCAGGCATATCAAAGTGGTATCTTGGCTGATGATAATGACCTCTTGCCATTGGCCGAGGAGAAACCTGAAGAAAGCGAATCAGAGGACGACGATGAGCAAGATTCGCAACAATATATCGGGACTGGGGAGCTTGAGAGGAAAATCCGAGAGAAAGAGGTGAGTAACCTATCCGCCGGGAAATTCACGAACACAGAAATTCATCTTTTGGTTGAAATACAGTGGCTTGAGAAACCCAACGCTGTCACGGACCCTGACGATATCTCCTGGCTTGTTGAGCGGGAAGATTCGCAGATATTCGATGTTGACGACGTTGTGACAGTTTCACCAGCTAAACGTCCTATCCCGGTGGTCAGCGGCGGCGATATCGACCAAGAGGTGAGTGAATAGATTGATTCTCCCAGCCCTCCGATAAAGGATATTACTAATTGCTACCTCCTCGATGACAGCTACACCTAAGGCGCCATAATGAGTCTCAACCTATTACCCCACAAGAAGAGAACGAATCAACCTGGTCTGGGCCCCAGCAATTGCAAGCTGCTTCTCGCGGACCTAGAGGTGGGCATTTTGCGCCCAAGAACCCTCGGCCGTCCACCGCTGCAGCTGTGTCGAAGAAGACGACAATTGGCCCTAATTCCACGTCACATGGACTAAGAAAGACGGAGAGCATGCTAAAGTCATCTCTTTTCAAGAAGGGCTCCGGATTTGAGTGAAGGGAGAGTAGGTTTGACTAGATGCGCTCATATCTTTAGCTAGGTTCTTTTCTAAACTTTCTATCACCTCAATTCCTATTCGTATCTTCACCTAGTTTAAAATGCATGGTTCCTCATGGTACTTGACTTTCTTGTATAATTGAATACTTGTTTTTGGGGACGTATTATTTACAACATGTGGACTATCTGGCCTGGCTATATATGGCCTGATTTCACCAGGTATTCGTGACATGACTAGTTGCGTGCCACAACTAGTTCTCTGAAGATCATGTGTTTGGTACTTGCATTCTTGTGGCGGACAACAAAATAAGCTGATAGTATATTTTCTGGGAGTTTCGACCAACGTATTTGAGCAGAACTGCGATCAATGTACGTCAGAAGTAGTAAAAGATCAAAAAGTAGGAACGAGCGAATTGAGGGAACTAGTAGTACCACGGACGATGAAATTCAAGGCACAAGAACACTCAGTCCCTTTCTACGAAAGCTATGAAAAACGAGTTGGAGTTGCATCTTCCTGTACTACTGATGGACCGGTCGCTCGATAGATATAGAGGAGAGACATATCATACCAACCGCCCTGATTAAGAGAGGCGGTAGAGGCCACTACCACCACTCAGAGTTTCAGGTGGAGCGTGAGACACGTGAGGACGAATCTCACGGTTTGCAGTAACTCGAGGTGAACCACCAACCTGTGAGAAAGAATTATGAGGCCAGAGAGGAGAAAAAAAGATGGGGTTAGGAGATGGGGTACATCACATGATGAGCAAATTTACTGGGCGGGGGGGAAGGGACACTTACGCAGCGGTGAGCTCGACCAGTAAAGTGGGAATCAAACCGCAGCAAGAGCTGACGAGGGCAAGGAGCACAACATCGATTTTAATTGCAATGGCGATGGTAACGAGTGGTCCATAGAGCGTCACGCAGGTCGCGAGGGACTGTAAGGTGGTCAGGCAGACAAATATGTCGTATCAGCACAGGACGACATTGGGGTCGGACAAAGGTAGGAAAGGGGGAAAACGGTGGAATCATCAAACCATATGGATCGAACTTACAATGATGATTTCGACCAGGATTGCGACGATTTCCGCGATGAGCTCGCCCGGTACGGAAATATTGACTGCTATGGCGGCAAGGAGCTCGATCGTGGCGGTGATAACAGCGCATATGTCGGTGACGATGGGCCAGGGATTGGCATGTCCATCTAGTCAATGCGCATGGAAATAGTGGATTTTTTTTTAAAAAAAACAAGGGCACAGTAACGCTCGTTAGCAATGAAGAGCCCAAATGCAAACTGTCAATGCATGCTGACCAAGTTTGCCAATAAGAATCTTGAGATCGATGTGGAGCTTGGTGAGGAGTTTCAATATGTCCTTCTCATTGCAGCCTAAGGCGGCACAGGTGACGACACCACGAGGAGAGACGACTCCTGATACCAACCCGTCATCGCGAGCGACAAGATTGAATGCGGGGGCAGGGTCACTGACGGGGGCAGCTCGAACGACGGCAAAAAGGCTAGCGAAGGTAAAAAAGAGAGCAAGAAACGCGAAGACGCGATTGGAAGAGAACATTGTTTATAACTTTGTTGTAAGAGTCAGAAGGTGCAGGAAGGAGGGCCGATGGTTGTTGGTCAGCCATCGATTCTTCTCTGCCTTTTATACCTTCCTGGCGGCTCTCCAGGCGCTTGCCCACTCATCAAAGAACGCCGCGTGTCGACAAACTGAAACGGAATATATTCCCTAAACCAAGAGATCACACTTGTCAGGGGTGTGGGGGTTGCGATGATCAGGTAGAAACACCACCGGAAAGCGGCGTGTCCCAAATTATTTCATGTACATGGGGTAGAGGAAAGTGACGATGAGAACGGGTCCGAATGGTCGTGATAACCGCAACTCGTGTGTTCGATATCCGCTCAGGGCGACTCAGCTCAGCAGGGTGATCTGTCTTATCTGGAACCTGAGATGATTTTCCAGAAGGTCGAGATGAAGACATTGAGCTACACATGTCTCCACAAATTAGGGACGCAGACAACCGTTAGGGATCGAACAGTCCACCAGTCACACATAGAAGGCCTCACGTGTGCCTGATGGACGAACACAGGTGACAACGGAAATGTTCGGGCAGACAGCCAAGCCGCCTAGTCCAACGATCACCATATTTTCCCGATTTGGAAAGGAAGAACATATTTGGACAAGACTGACTGACATTGCCTTCTCATAACTTCTCATTCCGATCCAACCTGATGCCATTCACTGAAGTGGAGGCGGAGACAAAGGGAGGGGTCGCTAGAGGATTATGTAACCAATTCCCACTATTTTGTCACCCAGGACTCACGCAAAAGAAGTGACCAATAACTAAAGAATCACTTTAAGCGGAAGTCATGTCATGGCGGGGAGGAAGGAAAATGGTGTAACTAGTTGTGTTCGTTTATGAGTGCATAGGGGCGGAAGGTGGGAATGGGCATGGCATGGCAATCATCCTGGGAAGAGCGCGAAGGTGGGAGGGTTGGGCAGCCCCCGTCCTCATCTAGCGCCACAAAGTCGAGCAGTCAGTGTTGGGCAACCATCTGGACGCAAGCATTATCCCCTTCAAGAAGCGATCTCTGAGCCCTTGCAGACCAGAGTGTCCCTGATCAGCTCCGTGTCTTATACAAAAATGCGATAAATGGCAGAAAGTCAACAGAGACGGTTTCGTTCTGGCAAGAGCCGCAAGAAAATAATGTCATAGCCGAAAAGAACGCAGTCACAGGCGCAGGGAACGGCTCATTTGTGGCGGCAAACAAGAGGCGTCGCGTTGCCGCCAAGGCACAATTTGGCATGTCAACGGAGTGACATGACCGCTGAGCAGGAGTTCGTACCCTCACCCCTGAATACCTAGACAGCGAACGAAGTTGGTGCCAGTGTATCGGCTCAAGCACAGGCCCCAGACCTAAATGCATTCGACTTTGTAGCTGGGCGTCAATTATGTGAATGTTGGTTGTTCCCTGGCCTATCTATTGTCGTTTCCAAAGTTCCTCATGGCAAACTCCGTAATTCAGAAAATCGCGTTTCAGAGTCCGTCCAATTCTTAACGATCCAACCTGCGTTGGAGTAGGGAAATGTAGCCATGCATGTTATAAATTATGTAATATTGGATAATGTCTGAAGCCAAAATTAAGAGCCCTCCATCTACTTCACTGGACTCTATTTTCATTATTCCGTTTGGGACACTGTTTTAATACCAATTTACCCTATGTAACATACATCGCGCTTTCCCCAACGCAGGTTGGATCGTGGTGACTGGTTAAGAATTGATAGGCAGGTCACAAGAATTGGGCGAGCAATGGCACAAAGTCCGAAACGCGATTTTTTGAATTACGGAATTTGCCAGGAATTTGAGGTGTCACGTTTTGAACATAAATGTATTGATTCCGGATCACACGGCCATTTACCTTGACAGCAACTAAAGCCCTCCAGATCAACTTTGACCAGCTTGCGCGTTGGCTTCCTTCGATCGCCGGCTCTCACGTGGCAGGAAGTCGCGGTCTCTCCACTGTCCAGCATTGATTGCATCTGTGGAATAACAACCTTCGCGATTGCGGCTCCAGGTCGAAGTGGGTTGGCGAGTCCGCGTATACTGCCGGCGCCTCCAATTGCCCTGGGTATTCATCTCAGCTGGCCAATACTCGAGTGCGTGGCTAAGTTTGTGCGGGTCCGTCGACCAAAATGCCGCGAGTGGTTTCTGACATTTCCGGCTTTCCACTGATGATGTCAACGGATAAACTTTGTTAGCGACGAAATTGCGAACACCATCTTAATGGTGCACTTGCTGTGATGGAAGCCGCCGAGCCCGCGCTTCCTCAGCCTTGCCCTGCAGGGAGCGTTGGGCATCGCCAGCTTGTAACCGGTTGCGAGGTCGCAATATTTCCGAAATTTGGGTTGCTGGGGTGACAACTTCAAAGGAGAGTCCCCGCAAACACGGATAGAAACGAATACAGACCTGGCGAAACTGCTTCTCCTTCTCAGAATGTGGATGATGAATTTGTACACCCTGTTCAGCATCCCCAGCCATTTTCAGTCGGTCAGGATTTCCTTAAGGCTTTCTACGAGCGGCTGTACTCATAGGACAAGATGGTTGGCATCAAAGGATGGATCACTGACAACTCACTTGTATGGGCTAGTTGAGACACGCGGACAGGGTTGTACGGTTCGTTCGGCCTAAATGCCACATACTTTTCATCCAATTGGCCGAGTTTCCGGGGTGTTTGGAGGGGTTTGCAAGAAAATCCCAATGTTTTCTTATCGAGCAAGAAGCGGGGACCAGCCACACTACCGATCAAACCAACATGCACCCTTGGTAGAAGACTCGGCTCTGCTGCTAGTTCCGTTTGTTCAGTGCATTATTCCTTCTTTCTTTTCGCGATTTGGATTTTTTAGTCCTGGTATTTGTTTCCTCAACGAGAAATGTTCCGTTCGAAAAATACGGGGGTCTAACGAATGTTTGCTACACGAAACTCAAAGTGAAGTCTCGTGTAGATAGCGGCATCGATTTTTTCTGCAACAGACTTTTTCTTGCAAACTCAATGAGGAAAATTGTACGCTTTACATCTTTGGAACTGTCTCGAACCTAACCCAACCAACTCCAGTGGAAGAAAATGCCAATTGAGCCAGTGCCGTGGTTCAATGAACTACCGGTTCATGTCTCCTATGGCCTCACTCTTAGCGAGTGAGCCGAAATGGACCCGGCCGCCTGGTCCAGCATAGGGTTCTTAGCGCCCCTTTGGTTTTTGTCTCTAGCTCGTGGTTGTCACCTAAGGAAAAGGGGAGGGGCTCAAGGTTTCCGGTGGAGAATCAAATTTTCTGGGAAAAACATCTTCCCGATTGAATCTACTCTGAATGGTCTCTTCCGCCGTCTAGAAGTTGTGGCCAATGGATGCAACTTGACCCGCAGGTCTATTTTTGTATCTGTGATGCATCTTAGGTATACTCTTCCCCTTTCCCTGCTTCCATGCACCACAGTGAATGCTGCATGATCAACTCGACGAACTGAAACCTTATGTGTTCCCTGTTCCGGTGATGGCGTTCTTGGATCTGGGTGAACATGACCCAGCGATTGACTATCTCGAGGTCCACCGATCTGTCAAAATCATGGGACGTCCATGAGTGATTCCTCACTACCACTAGCGGTTGGTCTATGGTCGTGGTCGATAGACAACGAGGTGCTAATCTAGGCCTCGCGGCATGAAACGACATGTAGAAGCCCGTCGCTCTCGCTTTTTCCCGGTGATCCTTAAGTCGTGCGTGAACCTAAGGGTAATCGTTCCGGACCTATCAACGGGCTGCGTGGGCTTATCTTCCCTTTGTTCCATTTCCCTGCCCTTGTCTTAGGGACTACAGCAGCTCTGATCTAGCGAATGGTATTATTCGCGCAATCGAACCCCTATAGAGCCTTCCCTTAGATTTCCAAAATCACCTGAGATAGAGGAAGGCACGGGTGCGGATGTATTATGCGGCCAACCCGGTGCCTCCCGGCAGGTCCAGAAAATGTCGCCATTTCTGGAGGGATCTATCCCAAACGAATGGAAGTAACTTGCTCATGTAACCTCCACTTTTCCGCACGCAGTCTCCGGAGTATCAGTATGGAGACGGTTATCTATCCCATATCTTCCGCGGAACCCCGGACATGGGGCCTCAAAGATTACATCAACCAAAAAACCAAGAACTGCTTCCTGGCATCGGCGTTCGTCTCTGGGTCCTTCATCCTGGCTGTGGCCCAACGGAAGGAAGTTATATTTGTGGGTTTGAGCTTCCCAGTGGAAACCTGCCTGTGTTCTGCTGGTTGGTTAGACCCGTTGTTCATGGTCCAATGATGCCAAGGGCAAGCGTGGAACATTTGGCCTCCATTGATTTAGCCAACGCGATCTTGGCTCAAACTGCGTGCATCGAGGCAACTCCAAATTGCTCCCCCTTCCCACCCTGCGTTTCGGAATAAGTTAATAACACTGAGGCTTGGCGCAGTGGTCTCATGCTCAAGTGGGGGACACCTACCCCGCAAGAATCCGTGGGTTGCGAAGTTGCCTATCATCATTGGACAAAGCGAGTGGGCTCATTCATGGCTCTACCGCCTTAGGCACAGATCAAGGCCGAGTGCTTGGGGAGCTCCGTACTCCGTACTCCGCCGGCCGGCCCCACATGTGGGGGGCACTCAATTACAACACCATAAGCCGGGGGTATCGCCCCATTTGGGCCAGCGTGGTACGTTTCAGGTGTAACCTTTCCTCGAGTCGTTTCAGCTACGTAACACATGCGAGAAGGCCCTGGTTGCAAGGGCGAACTTAACGAGGGGCCTGGCTCCTTCATCTATCTCTGTATAATTGGATTAATCGAAGTGACTTGAGCCTGAGCCGTTAACGCTTTAAACTTTTTTGCCCTGTACGCTTAATTATGTTGGCAACCCGTAGGCTCACTGTGGCTGCAACAGGCAATGGGGAAGAGATTAAAGACCTTCACAACTCAGGAAGCGGATGCCGCCTTTTCTCGGACGTCTGATTTAGGAAAAATATTAATTGACGAAATCCTCCCATTAGAGCGTGCTGGCAACTAGGTTCTTAATTTCAGCTACACTCCCCAGAGCCTCCGCCAGTGATGGACAGTGGCTAAAGATCCTCTGTTACGCGTTTCTGGAAGTAGTTATACCTACGTTGGATAGGCAGGTACGCTATGGCATTCCCATTCACTGGGTGGGGGGAATCGATTACCCATCTGGAAATAGGAGGTGGGCCTCCATACGAGCATTCATTCCGTCCTATTTAGAGTCGAAATCATGGGGGTTGGGCGATCAGCAAAAAGTTGACCATGTGCGCACTTTTCCCTCGGGATGATGGTCGATCGACTCGAACATTGGATTAGGAGAAGTATGACCACCTTTGGTGTGGGTTCGGGACAAGTGTGGTCATAGCTGTTGTAATTAACGTTAACAGTTGGCTCGACTAGGCTGGTACCGTGCGCCTCAAGATATCAATACTTAAGAAATTGAGAATTAGAAAGTTATTGTGTATATATGCCGAAACGCCCATATTGCCATTTTACAGGTGTCTTTGTTGGACAGCCAGCAGCCAGGCGCTTATTTCTACGAACTCGCGACCCCATCGCTCCGAAACAGCGAAGTTGGTCAGGTATTTTAGTCGAAAGCCGATCGGCATCCAAGTGTCTGTACTTCGTCTACGCATCGGTGAAATTGGATTTAGAGTGCTAGTGAAGACCGAAGGGGAAGTTGGGGCTAGCGATCACACTGATTCTCATACATTCCCAAATAGAATCGACACACAACCCAACAGGAGCTGGTGACAATGGTCGCTGATGGATGTGTCGCACATTTCACTTCTTGGCATTTTAACGATCAATGGCGGCGGAACTGTCGAGTGCTGACGGGAGATGAAGCCGCCGCAGTGCGGATAGTCAAACGGGCATCCGATCATCACGGCCCACGAATCTAGACAAATCAGTATTGATTGCCACAATGAGGAAATTGAATTAGCATATCGTTGACGGTTGCCACTATTTCGAACTAAAGCTTTGAAACACTAATAGTGCCTACCGAAAGAAACGCAGTTCCCAAAAACAGTTCCAAGCAGGCCCCTGCATTGCATCTTTACACTTTCCTGCATAACTCCCTTCCGCGGGAGATCTGATCATGGCAAAGCTTGATCTCCACAGGTACGGCTAGCAGGCTAGCCATCAAGATGCCGAACGTATCCGCAAGACCAATAGCACCGATCTTGAACTCCCGTTCCTGGACTTGCCGTTCGAACGCGAGGGGATCCTGACTCACGACATCCAAATCCTCATGACCTACATGGTAGAACGCATTCACGCTAATAGATTCACACAGCGATGGAACCCCATGCTGTTGTGTCAAACCAAACTGGACCCAACTGGCTCAACGGCTGACTCACTATGCAGAACCTCCGCAAATTCCTTCAATAGCAATAAAGAATGCAACCCATAGGATGCTAGCGCTCTCATCGTCATCAGGCTGTCCGGTCTCCCCGGGAGGGATGATACCACGCGACGATTCAAGGAAGAGGAAGATCAAAATGAATGCTTGTAAGATTGCAGGCACCGGGAGGTACTTTCGAGGAAGCGGAGGGAGGCCTAGTGAGATGGAAGAGCGGGAGAGAAAAACGGTTGTTTGATAGATCAGCTGTGGAGGGTGTTAGAAGATGCTGATAATTTGAAAGTTCCATCACGTAGCAAGGCACAAACCTGCCAGAGCGGATAATAATCTCTAATGCTCTTCACGATGTGACTCAGCACAGGGTGTTGGGAAGGTTTAGGGACTGCAAAAATTAGTGTAGGAGATATGCCTTGATTGATTGTGTATTCAAACTTTGAGAGGGACGTTGATCTCGTCAGAACAAAATATAGAATCTCTGCGTGAGGATTACATACTGTGTAGACACAAACTGCAAGGTAGGGGTTCGCTGAGTCCGTGACAAACTCCTTTTCAAGATTGGCATTGGGGTACTCACATAATGAGGCCATATATCGCAATATCAGAGGGTGAACGAGACGCCATTTGTCAGCGGGAGTTAGGGAAACGGACGGGGCACCGGAGGAGGCATTTGAGGTTATGATCATGCTCGGGCTTTCTGCCGGGTTTTCAGTCGATGGAGTCCCCATGTAATGATCATGTTCGAAAGGTGTATAGGCCCCTGCATTCAGAAAGTTGGTTGCAGTGGGAAGAACGTGGAAATAGGCTAATGGTATCACGAAGGGTAGCAACTAGAAGCTCCGTCATTGGGTGGACGTTCGATGTGAGCACAGAACGGCTCACCGACGAAAGGCCCACGCCGAGCTGTACCCCAAGACCCCTCAGAACCCACCATAAGCCTGCTCCGAGAAGTCCGGCGCATCCAGTGCCAGACGCGAAATATCCTAATGCATCACCGGAAACCCCGCTCGATGTATACGTTGTCGACAGTTGAAGGAAGGTGAGTTCGCCGAGGCCAGAGGAGAGTGACGCTAAAGCAATGCCCAGCAGACGCATCGAGAGATGATTAAAGGCGGCCACAACCTTGGGAAATTAAGATATGAATGAGATCCCGCGTCGGAGGTCGCAGCTGTGAATACAAACAGTCATCCCCATAACACTCATAAAGCAGCATCCAATAATCCTTTGTTTATACTGTATCTTCCCTTTGAGGAGGTAAGGCCATCCAATTTTGGTCGCTAGAGAAGGAGTAACACCGCAGAATGCGATGACCCCCTGTAGCGAGTGGGAGAATGCAACATGGAATGAAGTGAGACACCAGTTTTACGGAAACCCCTGGGTATTCTGGTCGTACCTTGGGTGTCCCGGTGGGGACGAGATCTAATGCAGCAGACAGAATAATCACATACAACACTTAACAACAGTGGAATCAATGAGCGCCTAGGGGGTCAAAGCACACACACCATTGCCAATCGTCCCAAATAAGAAGAAGCATATTCGAAGCCTCAGAACAAGGTTTCTGAAGAGGCTAGGGTGTGACATGAGTTACCGGCAAAAATTCCCGTGTACTGTTCTGGCATGACCAACCGGTCACGCATTGTCCAGTTTGGAGCGTGACACCGGACATCCGACCGATGGGTGACAGCCAACAGGCCGAGACCAGAACTGCGTGACACACGACCGCAAAGTCGTTAAACTAGGAAGGTAAAAAGCAAAAGCAAAAGACATAGCATAAAACTAGTACATCCACGATAAGAAAAAAAAAAGTATCACAGGCCGGCAATGTCGACCAGGGGGTAAAAGCTCAGGCGGCACCAGGGCGGGCGTCGCGCCGACCTCGAGCCCAGGGCCGTCGACCAAGAGCGCCCAATTGCTACTTAAAAACGCCGAGCGCGGCTTAGGCAATTGGGTTCATATGGGTAGTTCCGCGTGAACTAGGACAGTTCCTAGGAACATCCACACAGCCTACGCGCCGTAGACCAGGTGTCCCCCTAAAGACTCGCAGAGTCATGAGGTAACACCTCCGTTGGTTTCCAACCCCCTGACGAGGGCGCAGCCCGAACAGACAACCGAGCCCAGGGTCCACCCCTAAATCCCAAGAAACCTCACCAATCACCCCACCCACCTTAGACCTAACCAACCAGCCCAAACCGCCGTGCGGAGCTCACGAGACTACACATGTCACCTTCCCAATGCCCCACCCCAATGATGCCCTTACATATCATTCACCAAACGTGACTGGCTCCTGCCTGACACATAATAGCTACCCAGACGATCCCTGGCCACTATACGTCCATGGCGGCGCAACCAGAAATGCCCCCTCACCCAATCCAACCACCTTGACTCACGACTGCTCTGCATTCCCCATATCTGGACTGCAACGCCCCGAGAAATACATGTCTGCCTAAACCTCAACGAACCCCAAGGCCGCTAAAGTGGCCCTCGGCCATGGAAGGTTTAAACGTCCCACGCTCTCCGCGCTCGACACCCAACGCAAAACCCACACACGATATCCCTAACGCGACATTGAAACATCAGCAACACTCTGTTGAAACCCCGAGTAGTAACCTATGTGCGACAGTCTATGTTCCAGAACCCACCCCATCACCCACCGCCCTGCTGCGAGTACCCATACAACCTATCCGAACTAACGCATATTACAACCAAATGAGCATTACAAACGTCATGTCCCACTGAGAGGCCAGCCCGCCTGCCGGTCTAAGTCAGACCATCACTGCCAAACCTCCGCCCTGACAGGACCACAGCAACCTGGCAAGGAAAACTGCTATACCTTACAATTCAACCAGACCCCGGCCCCACCCTCACATGCCAAACTGCCCTTATGTCCCGGCCTTGAGATGCTGTCAACCCCAAGCACTAAAACCCCCTGGCTGTCAACTAAATGCATAAGCTAAACCCAAACCGCTGCGACTCAACGTTTAATTCGCCCTGACGCAAAAAAATTCCAATAATGCAACGTCGTATGCGCCAACCAAGTGAAAACCCGGAAAGCACCTAGACTAACATTGTACTGCCCCCAAACCCCGAACTGCCATTCGCATACGTCAGCCTGTTCCAAACACCGGGACACCCCAGTAGCTGGAAATAAAAGCGGGTAACTCCGCAGAAACTGTGTCAGTTTCCCCTAGTCCGCCCACCGACCTAGCCCCCTAACAAGCTCCCCACTAAACCATGGAGGTAAATACCCCCCTGCCCACTCTACAACCTCTGACAAGGTCTCAGTCCGAACAGTCATTCACACCCCTCCATACAACCTTTCAAACCCAGCTGACGTCTGAGGATGAACACATGATAGCGGCCAACCGCAAAACTTCGCAGTCACTATCGCTGACCAAGTGGAGGACGAGAATATCTCCGACTCTGACTCCGACAACCCAGACACTGCCCAATATAGCCCCCTCCTTGGGAAAAATCATCAAGGAAGCGGGAAAAACAAAGATCTCACTTCAGCAACCGAAAATGAAACGAGGAAACACGCGAGATCACCCACTGCCGCGAGAATTCAAGGCCCCCTAAAGCCCCCCCGCTTCCTCCCTCTAAAAGCGATGAGGCCCCCCCTCATTACACCCCAGAACCAAAAATCCTCCCTCGTGCCTACTCCCGACGTCTTCGACCTCGGGTCGGGTGGTTCGGCAGCCTTCCAAAAAAACACAAACCCCATTGAATTCCCCCCATCCCGAAGCCCGGCCACTGAAGGCAACGGATCCCCCATCGCCACCGACCAACCAACCTTCATGCCGGTAACCGCTGAACAACCCGACGACGGAAGAGATGATCTTAACTGGCTACCACTAGCACCCGACCTAGCAAACTTTTACGCACACGGCCTCCACCCAGGCCGCCTCCTTGAAGGAGTGAACCCCGACCGTGCCAAAGCCTGGTTAGAAAAGGCAGGTGTTATCCTAGCCATGCCCCTTGACGCCGCCCACGGCGAAGAAAACACTAGTAACTTCCAAACCAACATGGAAGCCTTTCTAGAAAGGGCGTTCCCAGACCAAGTCAGGGAAGTAAACATCATCCCCCCTGTCCCTATTGACCTTAGACATGGTGGAACCCCCCAATATACCAAACCGTGGGGCTTCCTAATCGAAGGCCTAATCCCCAATTTGCCAACCTCCTTGTACATGAACACCTATGGATATGCAAAATGTTCGGGTTCATCACCATCGGCACTAGATTCAAACCCTCATCCTTCATGATTTCTATTGTGGGAATGGGTAACAGGCTAAAAGACGTGAACAACATAAAAGAAGTTGTCAAACAAACAATCTCCAAAAACCCGAGCCCCTTCCAAAAATTCCTCAAGGAGGCAAGTATGACAGACAATCAGATAAGGGAAATCATGGACAGTGTCAGCATAATCCTGAGAGGATATGCCCCCAATGGGAAGGAAAACAATGAGAACACTGAAGAAAAAAGAAGACCAACCTCTGACAAATTGGTAACCATGTGGGAGTTGCATATGGACCCCCCCTTCAAGACCCTCAAGGAGGCGCATGAAACTCCACATGATCAATGGTCCCAATCTTTCAGAACAGCCTCATTTGTAAGTGAAAAAACTCAGGCTGTTATGGAAATGGAGAATCTTATGGTCCGTGACAGGCAACCAGACCTTGAGGCCCTTTGCTATGGAAATGGGCCTAGACTCCTATAGACCAGGCACACAGGTAAGATATTTCTTACTTCTTCTCACTTCATTCTCTGCCAAACCCCATGCCAAGCTTTCCCACTGGGTTTTGGTGCTGGCTGGGGGATTTGTTGATTTCCAAAGGACTTCCTTTGGCCATTATAACATTTGTATTAGATAGATACAAGTCATATGATATGTATGGCAATTGCCAAGATGTTTTCTCATTATTGAATACATAACCCACAAACCTTGTACCGCAATTGTAACATCCTCACCATTGTGCCACCACTGTAAACTCAACCTGTAACCTTGGAACCATGTCCACCTCCCTATTCATCCTCTCCATGACAAAACCGCAGCGAGGAGGGCATTCCCACGCCCAACCTCCTGCTGCCCGCTCCCACCAGTCCACCGGGTGGTTGAGCGGTCACTCCCATCCAACCAGAAGTTCCCTATCAGGAACTGTAGCCTATCCCACCTCCTTAGGAGAGGGATATAGTCCAGGCAGCTCCAGAATGTCTGGCCCCGCACCCACGGGTCCCACTTCCCACGGTCACTCACTACCGTGCACTGGTCCACCAGCCCGCTTTCCCCAACAACCCCCGCTACTGGTACGCTCCCATGAGCGCCAAGTCACCGATAGCCACCAACTGGGTGACTCCCTTTGGGAGTCCCAGTATCCCATGCTACCGGTACGCTCCATTGAGCGCCAAGTCACCGCTAGCCAACTGCTCCCAGCATGCCCGCTACCGGCACGCTCCCAGGAGTGCCAAGTCCCCGTTAGCAGACAGCCAGGTGGCTCCCTCAAGGAGCCCGTGTCATACTCGCTACCGGTACGCTCCCAGGAGTGCCAAGTTACCGTTGGCCAACCCACAGGTTACACTGCCAGACACTCATCCCATTCCGCTCTCCCTCCGATGGCTACGCAGCCACCTCCATTAGTGAGCCGAACGGCTCAGGTTGGGTTCCCCGGAACCCGTTCCTGTAACATTGGTGCCCCAACCCTGGTCGCACCATCATCAAACTCAATCGTGCGACCTCAAGCTCACACACAGGAGGATTACTCATCTAACTTAGGCACTGTCAACTCAGACTATCAGTATTCCACTATCCCACTAAAGCGTGTGCTAGACGAGTTTTCATCACCACAGAGATTCTATTATGAGCGCGCGCCTATGGACATGCTACGTGAATGGCAACGGCTGGGCCCAGACAACATAGAGGTTCAGCCATTCCGTAAACTGACTACAGGCTCCTCCACCTCCTACCGTCTCATTGACGAGTGCTGTAAACAGCTGACCCTAATCCTTCGTGCGATGGACCACTTCACCCAAACCATCTCCGGTTCCAACCTCATCCGTGCCACGTTCAAGGCAGATCCAGAACAGATTGTCTACTCCACATTGATCACGTCAGGCTGGACTGAGCTAAGCACCTTACATCTGTTGGAGGACAGCCTCGAAACATGTATTTACATATGTTTGTGCCGACAATTTTATTAAGCGGTCTACTGTCATCTTGTCCAACCCCGGCCCTGGAACTGCCATAACCCTATATTTTCTATAACATCGAATTTGGAGCTATCTACAGCGAAAACTAGCTGACTTTGTTCTGCACTTTGAACATGCTAAGGAGGTCCTCGCCCTCACACAGTCCCGAGCAGCGAGCTCCCGTTTCGTCACAACCGACCCCTCATTGGCACCAGTACGACCTCGCACACCTGAGGTCATTGCGATCCCGCCCGCTGCAGAAAAATTGGAGTTGCCCTCACTACACCCGTCCTCAGCACCAGATGGCACAGTTGCAGCTTGTACGTCGAGCACAGAACGCCGCAACAGCTCGACACCCCAGTCTCGTCAAATGACCGTTCCTGCGCAACACTCATTTGAGCTGGCGCATCCATTGGTGCAACTTCGCCCAAGCGTGGCAGGTTCATTATGCGCAGGGCACCTCACCGGCTCAACCTGTCGCAAGACCGAATCGATGTCACTGGCTGCTCAGTTGGTTCGGCCGGCTGCAGACTGTTCAACAAGCTCAATGGGCACTATCAGCCCTTCACGTTATGCATCCTGTCTGTTGAGTGCCATGCACCTTGACGGTTCGACACAGCTCGTAGTGGATCCGGCGCTTCCAACCATCCAGATGGACCGACCATCTGTTCCTTCACAACATTCACCCGAGCCATCACACATACATGAATTGCTCCGTCCAGATGTGTCCTGTCTGTCGAGTGTAACACACCTTGACGGTTCAATGCATCGCGTGGCTGCATCATTACCTCCGATCGTGCAGTCAGACCAGCTAGCAGCTTTATGGCAGGGTTCGCTTGAGCGGGCACGCCCGTTAGTACAACTTCGTCAAGTTGTGGCATATGCACCAAGCGCGAGGCGCTTCGCTAGCCCAATCTGTCGCAAGGTCAAACTGGCATCACTTGCTAATCAGTTGGATCGACCAGCTGTCTCATCGCTTAGACCAACGTCCCTGTTCAGGCATTGTCCAGTTGCGGACCGTCCAATAAGCGTGACGGAATCCATTGGCCCTTCACATTGCCAGGTTGAACCGTTGTCCTTGTCGGTTCAGTCAAACCTCCCGATTGATGCGTCCTGCACATCAAGCGCAATGAACCTTGCCAGTTCGACACGGTACATAGCGGAATCTAGCTCCCCGACTATCCAGACGGACCGACTGTCTGATCTTGCGCAGCACCCACTGGGGCCACGTTCATCGGAGCTGGCATGTCCAATCAGCTTGACACCTTCCGTGGCCGAGTTAACATCACAATCTGGCCAGTTGGGTTCCATTACTGGTCCCTCACGGTGTCTGCCTGAGCCAATACACTCAGATGAGCTGCATCGCTTAGTCATGGCCTGGTCATTGAGCGCGGTACACATCTCCAGCTTGACGCATCATGCGGCGTTTAAGTGCCCAACTGTCCAGTTGGATCACCCAGCTACACCCTCGTGGCACCCACGCAAGTTGGCATGCTCAGACGAGCCATCGAGCTCAGTTTCCACCTCAACTGCAATGTACACGGTCAGGTTGATGTGTCATATGGGTGAGCCGATACCATTGCAAATCCAGCTGGGATCTCCAACCGGCCCTTCACAGCATCCACCCGAGCGGACACGTTCCGACGAGTTGCTTCGTTCAGTCACGGCCTGTTGGATGGGTGCGGTCCAACCCACCAGCTCATCATCCCACCTGGCTAAGTCAACGTTAAAACCCCTGGCTAACCAGTCAGATCAACTGGCTGTCCCTTTGCAGCGTCCAGTTGAGTCAGCATGTCCATTCGAACAGCACTGCTCAATTGTGGATCATTTGTCAAACACAACATACTCTTTCAGCTCGACACCTCGCAAGTTTGAATCATCGACCTCGCTCCATCCACTGTCCCATTCAGTTGTGACCTGTTCATCGAGCACAACTTCAAGCTTCATTGGTTTGACACGTCGTAAGGTCGGATCCGCGTCCCTGCCTGTTCGTTCAGACAGTGCGGCCATCTCTTCATGCCACCCTCTCGTGTTGGCTTGTTTGAATAAGCCGGATGGCCCAGTTCCCGCTAGCTCAGCGATGGCAATGCATGTAGTCAGAGTGAGGCCTCACACGGCCAGGCAGATGTCACCACTCATCCAATCGGGACCGCTGGTTGCATCTGCGTCTCATCCCCATGACTCAGAACGCCTGCATGTGCTACATCAACCAGAGACTGCCCGCTCATTGAGCACAACCTACGCTATTAACATGGTGTGTTATATAGTTAGATCAATGCTCCCGATTGCCTTGCTGGATTCACCAGTCCTTCCCTCACGATGCCATCTCAAATCATCCTGCTTACGCGTGCCGGATCACTCAGTCGTGGTCAGCTTGACAAGTGCGGCACATTCCAGCAGCTCGACCCCCCTGTCAGGTCGAACGGTTACTCCTATGTGGCACTTACCTGAGCTGGCACGTCCAATTGATCCGTTTCGTCCAGTCAGGGCTCATTCTCCAAGAGTGATGCACTGCTCCCACAATCCGTCATGTTACATAGTCGAACTGAGGTTAACGGGACGACCGGAACGCCTGGTCACACCTTTGTGGAACCCGCCCAAGTGGTTCCCCGTTGATCTTTTGCGGCAGCCACCAGAGTTGACAAGTTCGGACGAGTCACATCGCTCAGATGTGACCTCTCCATCGAGTATGACCCGATACGCCAGCCTAGCGCGTCATGCCGTCAATTTGACATTATCGCTAGTCCAGTTACACTTGTGTCACGCGATCGAGCCGGCGCCCTCACTGGCCCAGTCGGTCCCTTTGGTTGCTATTTTGCGCTGTACTCCTGAGTCGCCAGACCCCTTGACTGATGACCCATCGAGCTTGATGCAACTAGTCAGCCTGACGCTCTTGTCCATTCTGTTGGGCCTTCCAGCAGCTTACTCCCGTCACCCTCGTGGGCTGGGAGGCTGGTATGATCCGTACCATCCAGCCAGTGCTGGATCACCACGGGTGACAAGTTACACCGGTTCGACGCGTCAAGCGATTGCGTATTCAGTCGTCATTGATGTCCAGACGCTCAACAGAGTTTTCCGCTGTGAAGTCATTATGTCCAACCCCCAGCTGGGTGGAACTCAGATTATGACGCTGATGTGGTCAAGGCACATTACCGACGCCAAGGGCAGCCATTTCCCAACTACCTCGCCCTTTGACGGTTGGATCCGTGAACTGCTACCTTTGCTTGTCAGGTCGGATTCTCTGGCGAATCC